GCTGACCTTCCGGTCCGCCGGACCAACCCTGGTCAGCTCCGGACCGGACCTGATTTTCGGACTTGTCTCCAGATCACTTCGATCGTCTGGTCCGCCGGACCAACAGTTGGTCCGGTCCGGACCAGACTCAGATTTCCCGGAAAAATCCAATTTTTCCGTCCAATCTTTTCCCGTCCGTGTATATCCATCCCTTATGTGTGTGACCCTTTAGGCTCCTCCGAAGACGGCAGTAAATACGAGATCCAATCTCGCTTTACAAATCTTAAGCGTTCTCTAGCAAGACATTATGTTTACCCGTATCGGAAAGAGTTAGATGTGATCTAACCGAAAAGCCAGAGATAGCTCCGACGATGATCCTCTTTGTCTCACGATATCATAATCGAACTCATAGTTCGAATGCTTTGGCGTATCCTGCGTAGACTATAAGAGATAGATGACATTCATCTATAGTGTGGCCACACATTTCTACAGTCTCACTCCTACGACGGGCCCAAGCGATATCTCTCTCTTTCGAGAGGGACAAAGTTCCATCTTGACTATCTACTATCCATTACATGATTCATAATGTACCCGAGCCACGCCTTTATAATCATCCGGTTAAAGATGACGTTTGACGCAGTCAAAGTACATTACTCGTCATGATGGATACAATAGATATCTCAGGTCTGAGGATCTAAAGTGAACCATCAAGTGAGATTCAAGTCATGGATTATATCCAATAGACAATCTCACGCGAGTCATCCAGTCACTTGTTCCAAACAAGTACCCATGACCGTAATCCGTATCCAATACGTATGATCATCATTATGATCATCGATTACGCCTCATGTTAGTCTTAATTCATCATTGTTCCCACAATGACAAACGACTAAGGAATTTAGGATCGTTCGTAACGATCCAGGGATTATCATTATTTATCAAATATGCAAAATAAATAATGAATAAATAATGTATTCATCTAATAAATACATCGTATCATACATAGTTCTCATATCGTATGATCATCCTAGAGCATTACATCCTTCAAAAAGATTATGCAAAATATGTTTTTATTCCGTGTTTAAATCGAAACGTGAAAGGGATATTCACCCAGACTTTTCCGTTTCCAAAGATATAATTGGCCCAAAACTCTTGTCAATTTTTTGATTATAAAAAAAATATACATAACCAAACAATTAATATATATATATATATAGAGATTTATGAAATATGAAAAATATTTTATTTTGTTGGAGCGTAGTTTTTGAAGTGATTGCTGTTTTTATTGAGATAAATTTTATATTTAATAAATTTTTTAAAATTATCATGTAATCATCACCTTCGGTTGCTTCTATTTAGGGAATAGGACTGCACATTTAAGGGTTAACAACAAAGCATAATAAAATGTTTCTGTTACAAAATGGTTATTATAAGACATCTCCATTTATTTAAATAGGTCCACTTATTAATTAAACGTTCGCCTAGTAGAAGTAACTGGTCCAGCCCTGTAAATTTGGGAAATTGGATTCCTGCCGTTTAATTTCTCCAGAGACAAATCAATGCAATTCCAAAAATATTTTTAATCAACTGTTATTTATGACAATATAAAAGAGTTTTTTTTAATATATATATATATTTACGTCGTAAAACAAGAAATATGAAAGGCTTATTTTCCTCACGGATTCCATTTAGTAAAAGCAGGTTGATGGACGATGATAAACATATAAGATGCATGCAAACATTTCAACTTCGATATTGCATATTGCCCCTAATAAAGGTGGCACATCTTCCATCCTTAAATGACACACATACACGTGTATGTGTATGTAATTGTGTGTGTTAAACTTAGCAAAATTATAAAATAAATTAGTTGATAGCTACACAAAAACCAAAATAATGTATACATATATATGTTATATATATATATACATATAACAAAAAGATAGTTTCATCTTAATTTTATTTAGTTGTTTTGTGTAATTCTTTTAGTCTTAAAAATAACTTGTAACAAATTCAGATTCATTAACTTGTTGAAATATTAGAATAATACAAAAAAAAAATCATTGGTGATTTTTTTTTTAATAATTTAAAAGTTTATCGCGTCTTTCATCCTATTACATCTTCTAGAGAACCGACAAAACCTATATGAATGAGTATTTCCAAGTGCAGATTCGAACCCGATTGGAAAAGAATTTTGCTCTTTTTCTTAGCGGTTGAACCACCCAATTTTGGTTAAATCATTGGTAATATTGTATACTACTCCTAGTAAAAAATGAGAATATATCTATATCTATATATATATTAGGAATTTTTAACATTTACAAAAATAGCTTATAGAATATTTGGAAAGCTACACAAAACAAAATGCCTCAATTGATTTAGACATGAAATTGCTGAAATCAATGCTCGGGTTGTTGCAACAAAAACTGCTAAATATGTTTTCCTTAACCCTTGTAACTTTTTATATTTCATTTCTGTATGATGCGTTTTAATAAATAATTGAATATATTACCAATGGTAATTATATTCAAGACAACAAATAATGTTACATTGATTTGAGATGAGAATGAGAATATTAAAAAAAAATATTAATGGAATGATATATATTCAGGGTTTATAATCATTCGAACGTAACCGTCATTAAGCAACCAAAATCATATTTGAGACATCAAAAACGACGGAGTTAGAGTTAATGCGTCACAAATCCACCGTTCCAACTGTCGCATCAAACCTAATATCCCTTGGAAATAAGGTTGCAAGAGAGAGAGAGAGATCCTAATTATATATATACATATATATGTACGTATATGTTTATATATATATATATGCATATTTTAAAATGAATAAAAGCCACTTGTCTTATTGTTTAGTGATATTGAAGCTTAAAACAACATGAATCATGAATATGTAAATTAATTTAATGATGAATACATGTATAAATAAAGATTATGATACACTAAACTAACCAACGTAAATCCCGAATAAAATAACCGTGTAATTATATGTGTGATAGACATGTTTCCAACGTCTTTTTCGTTTTGGTTTATCTCATTTATTTTTTTTACTGTGTGTGTATATATGGCACCTATATATATATATATATGTAATTATTTGTTTCTGTATATATTTATTTACAAACGAAAAATCTAAAAAATAAAAGAAATGTTATGGTGTTCAGTTATATTTAATCCATTTATATCACATTATGAAGCTCTTCTTGTATGGTCCATTTGAATGCGTTTCTGTAAATAATATTAGAATTGATTCCCTATTATTTTTTTTGGAAAAAAGGAAAATAATGATTGCTTCCTTTGACAATAAGAACATGGGGGTTAGTTTCTTGCGTGTATATATATAAGAAATTCGGCATCTTTTCCAACTAAAAAAAATGAAATATATAAAAACAAAACTAATATTGGAGAGGGCAGACATTAAATAATGTATGCACCTCCAACCTTAATTTAAAAAATAGTAGATATCCGATAATATTAAAATATAAAATTGTAAAACAGATAATCTCGATTTACAAATCTAAACCCGAATAAAAGTCATTCGATATCCCAAAAATAGATAATATTTACATATTTTATATACAAATTATTTTTTTTAATTACCACGATCGGCAATATCAAAAAATAGATATCATCACGAAATTATGTAATATTATTTTACACTCACATATGATCTATCAAGAAATTACGATGTATCGCGAAATTATTTACACTATTTTGTTAATAAGTACATATATATAAAAAAAAATTAGATATACATATAAATGAATTTCCATATACAAAATCCATCATATTAGATTCAAATGTTTATTTCAATTAAATAATATATTCAATTAAAGTTTTTTCTAGTTTTAACCTTTGAATCAATATGATTTCTAAATGGAAGGTTCATGCAATATTATTATCAAGAACAAAAGATAAAAAAAAATTATTAAATTTTATTAGAGGTGGAGAAAATGTGGGAATTGAGAATGACATGAGAGCTACCGAAAACAGAGAGAGGTCAATAAAGGTTGCATCACTTTTGTCAATTTGGACTATAAAATCTTCACATCTCCACTTTCTGCTTATGCTTAAATCCAATCCAAAACCGGTACCGTTAGCTTACCACTAAACCGAACCAAACCGAACAATTGAATTCCACGTCTCGATGCTTTCCGAATCATTCAACATAGACCAAATCTTTGTAAATAGAAATCGAGTCCTTGGTTATGACAATCGATACACGATACAATGAACCCTTTTCGTTAAATTCTACCAGTGATATAACATACGAAGAATTAAAATACAAAATTGCCAATTAAAGAGCTTGAAGGGGGAAAAAAGAGAGAGAAACTAATGTCTAAACAATTCTATGAAACGACAAAAGTCAGAAATTGCTTGCCAATGTTTCACACTTCTGCCCCTCATTCTTGACATGAAATCAAACGCAATGTGCAACTTCAATGACCTAATCATGTGTGAAAAATCACACATGTCATGACATTTTACTAACATAATTTTTAAGCCCATAGATTGGTTTTCCAAGACAAAAAAAAAAGGCTCAAATCTTTGCCATTACCAACTTAAATGAAACCATGGAACCACATGAACCATGAGATCTCTTCTATCCAAGAACCAATCGATCCACTACAATTACACAATAACAAGTTGATCACTAGTAAAATATGGCGGGGAAAATGTTTTGTTAGTTTCTCCCATGAATACAAATTTTGAATTGAATTCCCCCCTTGAAACGATTTCATCAAATAGCAGCCTGACTTACCGGGCAAGAAGCATATATGAAGTATATTTGTCAAGGTTGTGGAAGGTTTCATCGTTTTGGCCCCACTGTATATCGGTAACGTAGGCAAGCGAGGAATGATGGCTTTTCTTTTTAGGACTTTTCCCTCATTTTGGCTCTGGCGAAAAAAACTCCAGCCAAAAGACCTGAAGAGACCAGCACGATAAGAGAGACATAAGTTCCCAGGATTTTGGAACGTCTATGAGTCTTAATCCCTCAATAGAAGTTTGCTTACCGAAGAAAATGCTCGCAGAGTTCTGCAAACTGGTTGGTACATGGAAAAGAACTATGCCCGCGATGGACAGAGGAATCTTGTTCAGTGATCCCACGAGGCTGCAAAATTTGTATCAAAGTTATGATGCATCCCTTATTTCACTACTTGCAATTCCACATATATATGTGTGTATATATATCTAATTTCTTACCTGTATGTTGTCGCCCCAGTTTGGTGAAGAAACCACATCGAAGTGAAGCTAATGGCAAGGCCCAGAAACCCGCTTAATGTCATGACGCACCAGAAAACGGGCAATCGTAAAAGTGGCCTGCAGAATATAATATGTCGATTACTTTGTTTTCAGAATAACAAAAGTATGCATTTTAAGTTGAGAAGAAAAGGGACTACAACTCACGTTTCATAGAGATAATCAACTTCATTGAAAGCAAAGACAAGAAGAAGCCCGAGTGGTAACGAGAGTGTGTTATTAAGCAAGACCATAGAAAACTCGTTCAAGTTTCCAGATTTGGTAACTTGCTTCGCTGTGTCCATGATTTTTCTCAGAGTCAACTGCATGAAAAACAAAACAGAAGCAAATCATATATGAAGGCCAACTTTGACTTGTATACATTAGCCATTAAAGGGCTAAACTAGCCAACAATTCCTTGGGGCTTTGGTATTGTTGAACTTGATGGACAACACGAATTTACAACTATATTTTACTGATATGGCAATTCCATAAAAAACAAGTGAGGTGTTGATCACATGAATTTGAATCCTTTGCCAACAAAATGCTATTTAACAGAGCAATCTTATGTTAATAAATAATATAGCATGATGTAGCCCAGGAGTGTAAACGCATATATGGTTCACCGCAAGCTATCACATCCATACACCGAGGCCTTTCCAATTAGAGTGAGCAAAAGGCGATGAATAAAGATAATAGTAACTTTACTAAATATCATGAGCACAAAATCAACCCAGGAATCCATTGGTTACAACAAGGAATAACCATCTGGGCGGCTTTGTAGAGCTCTTAGATTCAATATATATATTGCTCAGCACTAAACATAGTTTTGGACGTCCATTTTATGCCATCATTTTTGTACCACCGATCTTTAAATGACATCATAGTAAAAATGAGACAATGAACACAAAAAGATTCATGACAGACAGTTCACTCACAGAGTACGAAGCAGTTAAGAAGCAATTAGCAATCTGCCAAGCATAGCCAACAGCGTGGAAAGATATATCAGTTATCCCCCCAGAAACTGCTGAAATGATCTGCACGTGAGGTGAAAAACCGCTGAATACACTATTATTTCCAAGATCCAATCCCCAAAGTATATCCGAAGAAAACATTATCTAACATAAAATGAATCTCCTTGCCCAAAAAAAAAGATGGCCAGTAGAGTCTTTGATTATATGTTCCCTCAGTGGATTTATGTATTTAATTTCAAACGCTTTTTGGGTGCAGGGACTTACCATTAAGAAGAGAGCAGTCCAAACTCTGCTCTCATGATGTTTGTTGAATATATACATCTCACCAACTGCAGTTATTACATTAGTGACATTCTTCAGGACAGTGACCATTGCTACGTTGATGTATTTCAAACTGCCAAAGGAAAAATAAAACTCAAATAGACAACCAAAGTTGAATAAGCAGAATGCATTCATTAACTTTCAAATGTTCTCCACAAATATTTGTTAAAACATAAATGATACCATAACAACATTAACATACAAACTATCATTAACACTTCGGTGTGTGGAGTAAACACCAGAATGTCTCAGTTCAGAAAGTTTATCAAGGACCACAAACTCTAGACCCTATTTTAAACCATTTAGCGTTAGAGGTTCTGCAGGAAGGTTTAAAAAGAAAGCACCAGATAAGGCAACGATGTGTTCCTACCTAAACATGCTTGTGATGAGCATGCCAACAAAAATCACGTTCACGGGAAACCAGACCTTTATCAGTCTCCAGGTTAGAGGTTCCGTCGATATCAAACCCATCAAGCTCAAAACCACCACAATGATCACTGAGATGAGATTCTGCACCGCAACAAAAGAATAAGACCATGAGACATCGCATCTAAAAACTGACAGAAAACTTGAAAACTATATTACTTCGATGGAGAAACCACACGTTATTTTGGTAAGTCACAGTAAGTACCTGGTATAACATCAAAGATATGCCAGCGTTAAAGTTGTAGCTGGAGAGAACAAACTTGTTCACCAATATCATGCTACAAGATGAAATGCAATAAGCTAAACCAGACAACAAAGCCTGATTTGGTAGTTTTCTGTGAACTGGCTTCTCTATGCCTTTTCCCGCCTTGCCATCTTCTAAGTCCACCTCATTGTGTTCATGGGACTTCATTGCAAACGATAACCTACAAGAGAAAAGAAAGAATAAGCATATGAAAATATGGGTTAACTTTTATGTTGGAGATCACGAAAGCAACACTCCATATTGGCTCAGCTACCAAGAACGCAAGCCTCTGGTTCATTTTAGTTGTCAGCATCTTATTTCTTGCTGTCAAATAAGATATATGAGAGCTGAAGCAAATAATAGCCAATTATGTTTATTTTCCGATCACATAAACCAATCTTTAAGGCGAACAAGCATCATATAACGAACATGGTATGTGAAAGACTTAAAATCTTTTTCAATATGGGTTTGATCCTGTTCCATTATTAACACATAGTTCTAAATCTTGCAGCAAATTACATTACCTGCCGACTTCTCTCCTTACTGGACTGGAGGTCTGACTCAGAACCCCAACTTCATGGAACTTATTCCCCCTGTCTCCAGTTCGGTTTAAGGTATTACTCTCCGCTGGGACATTCCTATCAAAAGAAACGTCAAGGGAATCCGGAGAAGCCCCAAACGGCTGAACCCTAAAGCAAAGAAATCAATTCTTATCAAGGCAGAGAATCAACATGGACTGCAGTGCTCATGAACTCCATCCCCAATACTTTGCAAAGCCCTGCTTCTTTTCAGCCGTAAAACATATATCCAAGCGGAGAAACGATCTATTATTAGCACTTTTAGTGTTGATGAACAAAACAGGTAAACTAAAGTCATCAAATTGAAGCGAAAAGCAGCTGATGCTTTAGAAATGGAATCAGCTCAACTCGAAATAAGTTGCCAATGGAAGAAGTAGCTATAATCAACAGAAATTCTGGGCTATCAAACCAATATATATATGCATATTCAAATCAAGAATCAGGTTCCGGTAAGAATCAAAATGCCAGAATTCTGAAGAATTTAAGCCAGCATCAAGTCAACGTCCCTCACTTAGCAACAGACCATCAAATTCAGGCAATTTCCATAAGTTAAAGATTTTAGCAACGAATCAAAGCTACTTCAACCACACGGATTAACATAATATTGGAACAGATTAAACCCATGAAACACAGATTAATCAAAGAAAACCCATAAAATTTTAGAAGTGAATCATGACAAAATAAAACCCATCGATCTCTGGGTTTTCAGATTAAACCCTCGAAAACCCATAAATTTTTAGAAGTAAATCAAGAATTTACCTCGGGCCCATAAAAGGAAAACACTCAAAAGAGCTTCGGAAACTGCAGAAAACACCTGCAGATACACTTGTATGCTCGCAATTGAGAGCGTAGCTATTCAAGGAAAGAAGATCGACACCGAATACGAAAGGAAAGTTGATGAAATGGAATAGAGATCGAAACCCAGTTATGAGTCAGACTGATTCATCAATCAACTCATTTTATAGATTAGGAAAATGGTTTTCCGATTTTTGTTTCCTCGAGTTTTGAATTTTCTCCCCCAAAAAAATATCTTGCTCTCTTTCGTAGACCCGATTCTAACCTACGCCGGGCCAAACCTACGCCAAGCATTTTCGAACAGGTATTAAACTGCAAAAGGGAGTAAATAATTAATAATAAAATACAGTTTAGTGCTAATCCATGTCATTTAATGCTAATAGTTAAATATATTGTCGTCATGCTTCCTTCATTTTCCATTCCATACTTCTTTTTTCCACAAAAATATTTAATCCAGTGTCCGGCACATTTATATTTTATATTTTTATTTTTTTATTATTACACTATTTGTCCGAAGAAATATAAACAAAATATACCCTACCATTCCTCGGATTTATATATAAAAATCTAATTTATACATGAAGTCTTTATTTTTTTATCCTAAATATAAACGAATTCGTCTTAATCTAATCAGATTTTATGTATTGAATTGGACTAAACTAAAACAAATTCGTATATACTTAAGGATAAAAATAAAACTCCTTCATAAATCTAAAAATTTTGATGTCTAAATATAAAAACGTGAAGAGTTTATAAACAATTAATATAAAAAACAGTTTGTAAACAATAATATATATTTAATTGTTTTATCTATGAATAGTTTATTTTTGATATAGAATATTTTATTAGGATTATATTGTCATAGGTTGTCGGAAGTTTTTAGAACCATTTTTTTTTTGGTCATTTACTATTATAATTCTCGAAAATCATTAAATCTTCCATAATCATTCTCGTTCACTGAAATCACTGTAAATTGCTTTTGGTTGGTTGGGTAATTGCATTAATATTGAAATAAAAATGCAAAAGCGTTGGGCAATGAATGACTTTGAAGTTTGGAGGGAGCAACCAATTGAACAGAGCCAACCGTTGACCTTTTTCTTGTAGGAGATTGACCTAATTCTTCCTTTTAACTAACTTTGCTCATTTGTCTCATTCAATATATATACATATATATATATATTTCCCCATTAAAGATGATTTTTCTATTTTTTATATATTTATTTAAATTTGTATTAATATCTCAATTAAAATCGTGACCAAACAACACTCAATTTATTCTGATTCGGCTGGATCAGATTTTGGATTTTGATTCTCTATTCATATGTTTTTTTTTAAAAAAAAATTATTAAAACTGAATAAATTAATAAGCTACATTGTACCTTTCTTTAATACAAATTTTATCTATTTCAGGCTTTTAAAGAATTATAAAAAAAATTACTCTTTTTTTTTTCAAAATAGAAAGTACGCTTTTTTTTTTTACTTTTTCAGCGTGTATATGTAAAAAAAATGTACGATAACAAATATTCAATTGATTAAACTCTGTCTGAATAAAATAAAACGGAAAATTCACTTGTACTGAAGCTTCGTAAATACAACAATATCCGACTCCATGAGCTTAACAAATAACTTCAAGGGAAAGGAGGTCAATCCCAAGGTAAATCCACAGCTAACAATACACCTTTATCAGCAGATTGAAACATGAACAAAAGCTTCCACAGAGAACCATATCTTGCATGATGATTATATGCTTCATTTTTCGCCCAAAAGAAAGGGAACAACACAACCGTTCAAGAATTGATTTGATCAATGTATTCAGATTGTTTTGCCTTGATAAAATCAGAGATCGATGCTGCATTACCATGCTTGATCACTCTCCCGTACTCCATGTACACAGCTCCATCTGCGTATTCGAGCTCCTCTAACCGATGAGTCACCCATAACGCTGTAACGTCTCCACCCTTGTTCGCGTTCAACAGATCCTTCACCGCCTTGATCACGCCCATCTGGGAAAACCCAAGAAAACGGAATCATCGATCAAAAGGAGTACTAAATCTTTTTGCTCAGTAACTTAAAATGCTAATACATCTGCCACAATCATTGCATATATCATATAGTTTCTCAAACGTTAAACGCCACCATGTTAATTGTACACGATAGATACATTGTCAAGAAGGGTCAAATGTTCCTACATACGAATTTGAGAAATATCGTTCATAATGTTAAGATGTTCAAATAATTAGGTACTCATAGTATAGTTGTGTCCCATTTCAAGCAGAAACCTAAGGAGATTAAATACTGAGCATTGGCAAATACGTCTGATGATTGAACTGACCTGGTCAGACTCGTCTAAGAAGGTTGTGAGCTCATCCAACAAAAGCACTTTGCATGCTTCAGCTAAAGCACCAGCAATAGCAACCCGTTGTTTCTGGCCTCCGCTGAGAGTTTGAATAGGTCTCTGAGAAAGAAACCCTGAATCCCAGTTTAGAAATCGGTAGCCATCTCACATTCATCACATCTTTTGGATTATTTATCAAGAGCAAGTTTGTGTAACCGACCTGCATATAATCACGCATACCGACAGCTTCCAAAGATTTTATCACCCTAGATTTAACTTCTTCTTCTGTCATGTCATATTTCCCAAGACCAAATGCCACATCAGCTTCAACAGTAGGCATGACCACCTGCGACAAAAAATCAATGTGTAACTGTTAATTTGTGAAATAATGGTCTTTGCAAGCTTAGCGGTCTTTAGAGTACAGAGGACAATGGAGAGGAACATAAGAAGACAAGCTCAAACGCAGTAAATTTTCAACAATTGACCTGTTGTAATGGAAAATTTCAAGTACTACAATATCATCAAGTAAAACGTAAACAGCAAACGAATCATCCTTATCTCTACAACTAACAACTCCTCGGTATTACAGAACATGAAATGCACCTGATGTTCTGGATTCTGAAACACAAAACTCTTCGGCCTCTTCACAGTGGCTGTGCCACTGGTTGGATTCACTAGACCAGCTAAGATCTGCAGAGTGGCAAACAACAGCATATGAAGGTAGTCAGTCTCAGTCCATTTGGCCATTGTTTCTTTTTTCTTAGAGGATAAATAGAAGTTGAAATATCTAATGTTATCTTACCCGCCCAATCTGCTCTTTTCATCAATCACAGAGCTTGTAGTGGTTCACAATCTTAATTTCCATTTCACAAATCAAAACCTAAGACAATAGAGAGACTATTCACACCATTTTCATCACAAGAAATTTCTTCCCCAAGGGCCTTTGGGAAAAATCATGGCAGGTTCATCAATCAAGGTTGTCTGCTAAAATGCACAATTCGATTTACTCCAACATTATTTCGAATCGAGTCTCTTGTTCTCTTGTGGATCACAAAGCGTATATCTAACCAAACGCTTCATTCTCCAAGCATTCAAAAGATTCTTAAAAAGCTCAAGCAAACCGAATCTTGAGTTAAACTTTGTGAAGAAGTGTGAGCGATTTCTTATTGGTAAGAACCACTAACAAGCAATCCAAAGAAGACAAAATCACCATAATCTACAAAAGATTATCATGGTTACACATAATCATTCACGAACAAAATCTAAAGTAAACCCCGCCAAAACCTCTAATCTAAACACGACACGAGCTGCCAGTGCAACTTGATCATGTTCTGCTCGAGTTCAGCGAGATGGGAAAGTAAGAGAAATGTGGAAAGACCTTCAAAAGGGTAGATTTGCCGCAGCCATTGGGGCCAAGAATCATCCACAACTGCCCAGAAGGAATCCGAAGGGAACAATCCCGAAGAATGGGAACTGATCGTCCTTGTCTTGTCGTGACGGAGAAGCAAAGATTCCGACACTCCACGGCGACATCATCGGTAACTCCGATCCTGCAACAGAAGAGAGAACCCGAAAACCAGAGAAGAACTTAGGGCGTGCTCGAAGAACACATTGGGCCGAAAGGGGAAAACGAAAAATAGGGTTTTCGAGACCTTGAAGGAGACGTTGAGCGAAGAGGGAAGAGACGAAGAGCAGAAGCTGGAATCAAACACTGAGCAGTCATTTGCAAATCCTTGGGGTTTCATTATAAAAATCCAAGAAATACATATATATGTATAAGCATGTATATATACATGTATAATTTTGTATATAGTATATATATTCATATATTTTTCTTTTCTTTCTGGCATAACAATTTTTAATGATATGAGACTGATTTGACGTAAACCCACGTTAGCTGTATTAGAATTATTTTTATAAATTAGTATATGTTCTTGAAAATTTTACGAATTCAGAATACTATTCGATACCATTTTAACAATTTTACATAATTTATATTGAATTTTCCTTAACAAAAATAAACTAAAACGGAAAAAAAAAGGCCATCCCTAATCCCCGGGATTTGCTTTGAAAATGTACATGTAAATTAAACAACAAAATGACTGAGATCCTCAACGACAGAACAATGGCCAGACATCATCATCTCAGCAACATTAGTGTTTCATCACATCATTCAAGAGTGTCATCTATACATATCTCTTCACATGTGTCACAACAAGTGAACTATATATATCTTTTATCTATCTATACATACATAAGTTACAACTATTGAATCTTGTATGCTCCTTTACCAACTCTTTCTCTTTTCCTTTTTGTTTTTTGGTTCGTCTCCCCCCTAAATTTACATTTGACCCTCCTGCATCTGCTGCTTCTTCATAAACCCCCCCCCCCCTTCCCCCAACTCCAACTGTAGAACACGCCACAAACACATCAATATCACGCCCTCATCTTCTATGCCCCGAGAATCGTCATAGCATTCCCCGAGAAACGCCAACCATCTTACATGATCCTCGGTCGGGTCATGTAACCGACATGGGTTTAGGAGAATGAGGGCAGAGATATCCAGTTTCCAGCATTTATGCTTCATCTTCTACAACAATCTTGATCTCAACAATGTATTTGGGGTTTGAGCTCTGACCATAGAAGGCTCAATCGTTGTGTCATTTGTATACGCTGTATTGGCCCTAAAGGGCCTTGCAGCAAAATCCACCAGGTTGTAGTTACTGTCTTGCCCGGCAAACACGAAAGACGGGTGGGGAGGGGATAGGAAACAGCTTTTGTATGCCGGTCCATGTTGGCGTAAAGGGCTTGAACATGGGGATACCGGCAAGGATGCGATGGTTCTTATATTTTCTCTGCTGGAAAAATAGAAAAAAAAAGTTTTAAAATATAACAACAATCCCCAATATTAAGGATAACCAAATGCATTCGGACAAAACCCTTTTACCTCGGGCTCTTGGTGGCCCTTGATGATACAGGCAACGGTGTTTGCGAGTAATTGTCATAGCTTGACCTCCTCGAATAGAGTTCCATAGTTGGCTGCACAACGAGAAAAAAATGGAGTTGAGCTTTTGATTCAGGCAAGTATGTTTCAGAATTCTGGTTTTGACATGTCTGTGTATAATACACATCCAATGGCCTACCAATGCACGGCTTCTATCAGAGGCGTGAGGGGATATGTCCTTGTTAATTACTCTTGTCGTGTGTTCCTGGAGGAATGAGTGATCCAAAAGCTGTGACGCTGTAGGACGTTTTGACGGGTCTCTTTGCAGACAAAGCCGTATAAAATTCTTTGCATCATCTGAAAGGTGGTCGGGAATTTCTGGGATGTCTTTGCTGTTTCCGATTTTAAAAATTGCAGCAACCTGAATTCAAATTTCAAACATCATGAGACAGCTCTTGTCAATGAAAATACTGAAGAGAAAACCAGAGAGCGGAAACAAAAAAAAAATTGTTTTTAGTATCATACCCCTTCATACTGACTCCAAGGTGGTTTTGCTGTCGCCATTTCAAGAATCGTACATCCCAAACTCCATATATCCACTGCAAGATAGTAGCCGTTTGTGTTCATCACAACCTGGGATTTTTACGGGAACAGAAAAAACGTTAAGTGGGATAAAATTTCATCAAGCCGCCAGATCATAATTTTCAGTCGGAACTGGAAAATGCTAGCAAATCATGCTTCTCACGAAACAAACAATATAGGCACAGGAAGAATAAGCACCTCGGGCGCCATCCAATAAGGACTTCCTTTGAAGGAAAGCATGGAAGAACAAGCTGTTATCTGCTCCAGCAGGCAAATGTAAGAAAGATAACACGTTCAGAGAGTTAAAAAAAAAGATGTTTTTAAACCCTATAGATGACAGTTCATGGTAAAAGAACATTGAGGCCCAAAATTTTCTAATATTTTGAGTCAAATAAGATAAGATACTAACGTGTTTGGCCATCCCAAAATCTGCCAACTTGATCTCCCCATTCGGATCCACCAGTATATTTGCTCCTTTTATGTCCCTGTTATGGAATAAAAACTGCATTGGAATCCAGACAAGAAACAAATGGAGTTACCTTAAACCTTAGAAAGACCGTTCAAAAACATAACAGCCATATCATTACCTATGCACCGTGTTTCTTCCATGTAAATAGGCAAGTCCAGATAGGATCTGCCGTGTGTAATTTTGGATCACAGGCTCTGTGAAGGCACCATACTCCTGGAGGAGTTTATGGACCGAGCCACCTGACACATACTCCAAGTGGACTGACAAGGCTTCTTCTCTCTGTGAGGATAAAAATTAACCAGACTCATGTCAAACCAGGCTATGATATAGTTTCTACATAGCAGATTTACACTAACAAGCTTGGCAAATGAAACATACTAATTCACTTCCATAATACTGAACAATATTGGGATGAGAAAGCTGACTCAGCAAATTTATCTCCTGCAGATATGAAAGGGAAACATTACTAGAATGAAACCTAAGGCTGAAAGCAAACAGGTCTTCAAACAAAGATCCGGGGAATAAGGCGAACCTGATTTAGTTGCTTAAGACATTCTCTCGACGTTTGGTCATCAGAAATGACCCTGACCTCTTTTATTGCACACATTTTCCCTTTCTCACTGTAAGGATTGGCAAAATCACTATGATAATACCATTCAATAAATACAATATAAAGATCAAGCTTTATATTTATACTCCTAATAGAAATAGAAGGTGTAAGAATTCTATTTCCAGTTCCTAGGAGGCAGAGAAACTAAATTTCCCATTTAGGTCTTGTCATTGAGGGCACCTAAAAACTAGAAACTCCAACGGAAACAAATGTAACTCCTATGACATGTTTGAGCCGACAAATCCTCTAAGAATCCATTGAAACACTCCATCCCACAACTTTTTTTTTTCATCTCTGGACGCTGGTTTAGTGAATTAGCTATAAATGGTCTTTCGATCATGCCATACAAAACTGATAGAGTTTGGATCATGCCATACGAACCTGATATTGTTTGGGCCCAAACTCTATCAGAAACTTCTTCGTACCCAAAGAGAAAACTAGCGTCAAACCCATAATCTATCATGACACAACACATCACCCTCCCCAAGGTCCCATCCAAATAATAGACGTTATAAGAACTTTACCAAAGAAAGCTGACTCTTCCCGTCCCAAAACCGAACTTGACCAAATAATAGCCATAACATGCCTCCATCTACATCCTCGTTGCCAATTTCTCAATTCAGTTAATGCTCAACGTGCCAATCAACAGAAGAATCCCAATTTCACCTGTTAAATCCTTGATAAACTTGTCCAAAGGTGCCTCTCCCCAGCAGCTTTCCCTTCTTCCACTTGGACACACTTGGAGGGGACGAAGCCTCGGGTCCTCCTCCAATCCTGGAGCCGTGCACAGCAGAAGGGCTTGTCGGGTAACTCGGTGGCAAAGGCAGGGGATGACATTCTGAGGGTCTTCCATCATCTTGTCGCCCCACAGGAGAATCTGAGTTCACACCTGAAGAATGGCAGTGCAGCGGAGATGTGGGCCTGGGGGAACCTCTACCGGGACTACGTGGTGGTGCTACGATGAATTTTAAATCGCCATTTCCCCTGCTATTACTATATGAATTCAGTATCACTCACCAACCAATAACCAATAACCAATTACATGGATTACCAAACAACAAAATGTTTCGATTCCAAGTAGTAGATGAAACAAGAACAAACTATGTAAGCAGATTCAGTATAAAAAGGCGTCATTTACTCAATGAAATCAACCCTTCAGCGCAAAATTAAGGCACTTTTCATCAGAAGCTAAGATCATATCCAAGAACCTAACCCAGATACCAAGAAAAATCTAAACGACTGAGAGAAAATTCAAGCACAAACCTGCAACCACCGAGTTGACCCTGATCATCAGCGGACCCGGAGGAGCTAACGCTCGAAACAGATCCCGATCCGGAACCCGACCCACTCCCGAGATCGCTGTGGACCGAAGAAACCGACGGTCGGGGAAGTGGGTGTCCTCGCCTCTCGCCGGAGTCCGAATCGAATCCCGCGAAATCGCGGCTACAACGCGGAGTACCGCGCGTGGGAGTCACCGCCTCATCGAAGCTGGTCTTACTCTCTCCGGAGATGACTTCCCTGTTTCTCTTGTCGGCTCCACGAGGACTCTGGTTATGGCTATCGTCCTTGGTTTTCCCAGACTTTCTCGTCCACCAAGCAGGCATTTGAGAGAGAGGAAAAAGAAAAAGTGGACTCCAGATAGAGAATTCAACGGGGAATTTACGAGAATCTGAGGGGGAAAAGCGAGAAAATCTCGAGATGGAGGGTGAGAAGGAAGACTACATACGGAAGATGGAGGAAAGAAAGAGTAGAAGAAAACGCAACGGCAGGTTTAGAGAGGGAGAGAGATGTGAACACGACGAGCAGAGGGGTAGAGACAAGTGGGGGGGGGACGTGTGTGAGCCCCATTTAAAATTCAAAATAAAAATAATTAAAAGGAGGGGGTAATGGACAGCTAAGCACGGGAGGAGCAGTTGGGTAGAGTTTTTTAACCAAATAATCCACTTGGTTCGCATCTATTTCACCTGACGAAAACATAATACATTTTTTTCCTGTGAAAAAACGAAATTACCCTTAATAACTTACGATATTTATCCGTTCGAAAACAATTTCGTTATTACGACTTCGTAATTAAGTCTAAATATAGTTACAATTAATTCTAAAAAAGTGACAAAAAAAATCATCTGTCTTATTTTAGTTGTATATCAGTTATATGTTAGTTATAATAAGGTCGTAGAAAATAAAACGAAAAGGGTATTTCGGACTTTTCCAACCGAAAAGTGGGTTAAAATTGAAAAAAAAAAAATTCGGTGGGGTACACTGGAATAGATGCGAACGAAGTGGGTTATTTGGGTGATTTTCGCAGTTGGGTAACGGGGACAGACGGATGACGTGGCAACGCAGCCCAATTGAACCATTTCCAATTTGTTTTATTAATCGTTTATTATTTCCGATAACTAAATTAATAACGTCTGCTTTTGCTGAATCAATTTGCGCGCGTGCGGTTTACGTCGGCGCAGCCGGTCCCCCCCCTCTATTTCCGAATTTTAACTTTCGCCCCAAATGTTCGAATAAATCCCTAAAACGCCCCACTACATATCAGTATTAATAGAAGAAATTATTCAGAAGGCACGAAATAAAACAATGTCTGACTTCTTTATTAGAAATTAATATTTCGGGTCATCCATTTATTTTCATTTATCTTGAATTCAATTATTTTTTAATTTAAATGCTTGTAAAAATAATATTTATTATATCCTAGTCTATTAAATCGGTGTTATTTTAAAGTATCTATATTTCAAAAAAAATGTGTTATAACAAATTTCAATATTATTAATTTAATTAAAAAATTAAATTAAATATGATTATACTATTATATATTTATTTACATTATAGCCTAGATTTTTTTATAAACTTTTTTTTATAATGAACCAAATGGGTCTGGATAAGAGAAATCAGTTTATCAAACAAAAAATTTTGCAACTAATGATCTGTAAAATATAAGCTATGTAACGTTTTATACATACATGTTTAGTAAGGTCATAAGCATTATGGATACTGTATGTATGGATGGAATGTATTGCTCTAAAGGTATGTTTTGGATTAGTTACCAAACATTGGTACCTTTTGTTCTTTCCACAAAATTGATATTATAAAATTAATTATCCCACCAATTAATTCTCCGGTGAAATGACAGGATTAGTTATTATTCATATTGTTATAATTGAATTAATCATACCACATTAATCACTCTATCATAACTAATTCTATCATATTTATTTCAGGATAACTTATCGTGCTATATTATTTGAGGTATAATTAATACGATATGATTAAATATTATACCATTAATATCATATTAATTGGAAAATAACTAGATCTTTGACAGCAAATACCAATATGACATAATAATTAATTATTTATACACATTATATATAAATATACTCACACGCGCATATATATACATATACTTTTAGTATAGTTCTTTTCTTCTTGTTTATTATTTTAATTTTTATAAAATTATATTTTTTAAAAACTGAAATTATTTTACTATTAAGATCAGAATGTTCATTTAGTTTGTTTTTTAATCATCTGAAAATTCATTTAGTTTTTTTTATCCGACTACATCTCTTAAGAAAATAAAATAAAAAATCATGTGAATGTTTCTGTTCGAATGAAAACTCAAATCCGGTTTAAAAGAAACTTTGTTCCTCCCAGTTGAACTATGAGCGGACCCATATTGATATGAATGCCCCCATTTATGGGTGAACCCATGTATAAGAGAACGGGGGCTTAATGCCCCACTGTTAAATAAAAAATGTTTAATTTCATTATAAATAAAAAATGCTTCAAGAGATGGTTTCGTGCGAGTTCATACATGCATGCATACATGCATGCATGCATACATACATACATACATACAAAAAATAAAAGGAAAAGTAGGCGCGTGTATATGCACGTATATTTATAATATTAGAAATTCCTTTGTGTGGGAACTGATTTCTCTGGTTTTGGAGACGAAAATTAAGTTACAAATTCAACATTTTATAAGTACATTATATATGAATATATATGTATGTATATATATTATTTAGACTATGGATCAGAGTTAATTAAATTTATAGAATCTTAAAAATTATATGATTTTCGAATTTGCATGAGTTTTATATTGTCACACGCTATTATGTAAAATCGGGGGTTTATCACGACATTCGAAGGTTTAGTTTCCACCGTTAAAAAAAAGGTCATAATTAAAATTCTATAAAATACTGATTTATTTACGTTTAAAAATGAATTAGTGATTTGTATACTTCCCCCAATATCTCGGTCAAAGCTTACGGGTCATATCAAAATATGCCAAATTTTGTTATTTTCTTTTAGTAATACCTTAATAATCAATACCTTGGAGTAGTCTTTTTGCTTAAACATATTTTTATTTTTATTTTTTGTAAAAACAAATATGCTCAAATGGAAATTAATTTCTGAAAAAAGGAAAACAAAAACAGAACAGCTGCACGGGGAGAGGGAGGCGGAGGTCCAAACGTTATGACACGTAAGAATCGGTCCAACGTCAGTGAGACCGTCGGTCTTCGACTAGTTCCTCAGAAGAAGCAGCCGCAACCGCCGGCGACTCGCCAGCCACTGACATCACGACACGTGTATGCCCTTTCCCTCTCTCCTCCCATTCCCGTTGTCTCTCTGTAACTGAAAATATTCTCGAACTCTCTCTCTCTCTTCATAGCGGAAAAACTGAGCTCGCCAGATCGATTTATATATGTATATATGCATATATATACATATCTCTCTCTCTCTCTAGAAATATCTCTACATTTACCCATTTTCATGCGCGGAGAGAGATCGCGTCTCGTCGTCACTGCATAAGGTGATCATGATCTTCATATGGCTGTTGATGAATCTGTATTCTCTTGCGCTAGTTTCTGTTTAATCTATTGAATGAAAATCGCTGTTGTGATTTGATGTTGTATATTTGTTTATTTGTTGGACAAATCTCCAGGCAAGGCGATCCAGGAGCCCTGCCGATTCGACGTGAGTTTTCTGCTTGCTTCTCTGGATTTTATTTTATTTTTCTAGCCGTTAATGTTTACGGTGCGGAGATTCCTGTTTTCTGCGGTTGTTCGGTTTCCCGGAAATTTTTTGCAAATCTAACGTGCGCTTCTTTGGTTTTCCCCCCCTCTGGCTCATGTTTCGGTCTCAGCTTCTAGCTCAGCCTGACGTTTCATCCTTATTTCTTCATGTTCTGGTTATTTAATCATATTTCTCAAAGTTTTCTCATTTGTGATTTTGTTCATGTTTGTTTGCAATGTTTTCTCAGCTGCAAAGAGAAAAAAAGATACCGGGGGCTTTTTTTCACGATCCCGCTTATGTGACATGATTTTCCGCCAATTTTAGACGCACGATCTGAAATCTAGAAATTTACGATGTTTTTAACTTAATAAAATGCATCTATTTTTGTTTTTCTTGGATGTAGATAAATGCAAACGGGGATGAATCTCTTCAGCTTCTCTTTCTTTCGTTTTTTTTTAAAATTTTCTCTTCCCATAATAAGTCCCATTTTTTTGGGCTCCATTTTTCACGAGATTCAAAACATGAATTCCCTTTGTACTTGTATGCCATCGAATTTGCAATTAAATTTTAGTTGGAAGCTTAGGATAACGTAATTGACAATTGTGACTCTCATTGTTCACAGGAAGAGATGGCACAGAGCAGTACTTCTCACGACTCTGGCCCCCAGGGGCTGATGAGGCGGCCATCTCGGGGTGCCGCTACAACAGTGTCAATTGAAGTTTTCGACCACGAGGTGGTGCCAGCCTCCCTCGGCTCTATCGCCCCGATCCTTCGTATTGCCGCAGAGATTGAACATGAGCGTCCTCGTGTTGCCTATCTCTGTACCGTCTCGGATGCCATTTAGCCTCTAGCTTTCATTTTCATGATCCCTCTGTGTATTTTATTTGGCCACTAACTAAAATCTGCGTCTTTTTGTGTAAAGGTCGGTTTTATGCATTTGAGAAAGCGCATAGGATGGATCCAAGTTCTAGCGGCAGGGGTGTGAGACAGTTCAAGACACTTCTCTTCCAAAGGCTAGAAAGGGTAATCATCTCATGATTTCTCTCTTTTTCTGCTCTATTCGTCTGCAAATGCGTGGGACTGGCAAATATTAATGCACTCTGCTAAACAAGGACCCAGTCAGAACCATTAGTTCGAACTTCTAGCTCCAGATTTCACAAGCCATTCCATGATCATGAGTACTTTAGACAAAATGAACGACACTGCTAACTCTCTCATTATCAATGCAACGCAATCAGTTAGATTAGGAGAGTTCTACCAACTATATTCGCTGGCTTTCTATGCATACTGATCTTTAAGAATGAATTTTCACATTGGATACTACAATCCAAGTTTAAAAGCCATTGTCCCAGTCGTTAATCTTACTTATGACACAAGTCACTGCTTGTGCTTGTTAATATTATGACAAAAGTCCCCTTTCTCTCCCAAAATATAGATTTCAACTTAATTTCCAAGTTTGGATTTCCTATCCTAGGAATTTAAAATCTTTACGAAAATAGAGTTGGAAGCTAGCTGATTCTAGCTTGTGTTGATTTAATATTGACAAACTGTATGTCTCAGGACAATGCTTCGAGCCTTGCTTCTAGGATTAAGAAAACTGATGGGCGGGAAGTCGAGAGCTACTATCAACAATACTATGAGCATTATGTCAGAGCACTTGACCAAGGGGAGCAAGCAGACAGGTGACTATGGTTCATAAGCTTATACAAACAATATTAGATGTTTTTTGGCGGTTAAGATTCATGCGTTTACTTCAGCTGAAGTATGTATTTCAATGGCATTCAGTACAGTATTCTAATTATGATGAGGCATGTGATCCAAATTCTTGCAGAGCTCAGCTTGGGAAAGCATATCAAACGGCTGGAGTGCTGTTTGAAGTGCTCTGTGCGGTTAACAAGAGTGAGAAAGTGGAAGAAGTTGCTCCTGAGGTTAGTTTTTTAAAATCTATTTCTCCATTGCACCAACTCTTTCATTATATGTTGAGGCAGTAATTCAATTGGAAGTCTTACTGAACATTTGCTGTCTGTGCTTCTGAGTAGATTATTGCAGCTGCTAGAGATGTCCAAGAAAAGAATGAAATTTATGCACCATACAACATTCTTCCGCTGGATTCTGCCGGGGCCTCGCAGTCTGTTATGCAGCTTGAGGAGGTACTATTGAATGTTTCTTCCTCTGTTTTTGTCCTACGCAGGATGTTCCCTTCATTCTGCTTTAAGTGACCTCTACCGCTGTTTCATGCTTAGGTCAAGGCCGCTGTAGCAGCCCTGTGGAACACTCGTGGATTGAACTGGCCAGCTGGATTTGAGCAGCATAGAAAGAAATCTGGAAATCTGGACCTTCTTGACTGGCTAAGAGCCATGTTTGGGTTCCAGGCAAGTTTTTTGGTTGGATGAGAGAAATTCAATACTTGATTGCTAGATGTAGTTCTTAAGTATTTTCTGTTTTGGTGAACACAGAGAGACAATGTCAGGAACCAGAGAGAGCATCTTGTTTGTTTACTCTCTGCTAATCACATAAGATTGACTCCCAAGCCAGAACCTCTCAATAAGGTAATGTTGAGCACTAATGAGTGAGACATGCTTATATATGCAGCTCGTAGTCTTAAGTTGAATGCGTTACAGTATATTTTGAAACCTTGGCTGAAGTGAGCTACATCAAATCTGTTATCGTCATGTTTACTACGGTAATCTTTTCTGGGAAACAACCCCTCAAACATGCACCATATTTACAAGAAGATCCAATACCATCAGTTTAAGAACCAAGTCTCTGTTTTACTTTTGCTTTGAACCAGAGAACATCCTAATTTCTTTACTGTATGCAGCTTGATGATAGAGCTGTTGATGCCGTCATGACCAAGCTCTTCAAGAACTACAAGAACTGGTGCAAATTTTTAGGACGTAAACACAGTCTGAAGTAAGAAGCAGCACAGCATATTTCTTAAATGATTGAGCTGTTCCGATATTTATGCTTAGTGGCTTGAATTTTATTTTCTATCAAATGATTTTCGTATTCTTATTCAAGTACTGAAACATCTTTCTGCAAAGACTTCCACAAGGTGCCCAAGATGTGCAACAACGGAAAATACTCTACATGGGCTTGTATCTTCTTATCTGGGGCGAGGCTGCAAATGTTCGATTCATGCCAGAATGTTTGTGCTATATTTTTCACAATGTAAGTATGGATGAAGATATTCAGTACATATCATCTCTGGACATCTTTTTGGCTGACATTAGGTGTCCAACATAAATATACATTGAAACTTATTTTTGGCATGCCAATATATGTTCAGATGGCATATGAACTCCACGGTCTCCTGGCTGGAAACGTCAGTATTGTTACTGGAGAAAATATTAAGCCTTCTTATGGTGGAGATGATGAGGCGTTTCTGAGAAAGGTCATTACACCAATTTATCGTGTAATTGAAAAGGTAAATAAGTGATTCATTTGTCGATGGCCTATTCAGAGTTTTATTCCCGTGGATGCCATAACTAAAATTTCCGTATGAATCAGGAAGCAAACAAGAACACAAATGGGAAGGCGGCTCACTCAGATTGGTCCAATTATGATGATCTGAATGAATATTTCTGGTATTTATAGAATCGGTGTCAATAAACTGTTACTTGGTCCAGGAAATCTTTCTGTTTCATTTCATTTTATGTTGCTGCTTTCTTGAAATGTAGGTCTGCAGACTGCTTCTCTCTTGGCTGGCCTATGCGTGATGATGGAGACTTTTTCAAATCAACACGTGATACAGTGCAGGTAGTTACTGTAATTTCTAGTAGCTGATTCTGTAAACTAAATCTGTGGTTAATCCGTTTTTGTTGATTTAATTGACAGGGGAAAAAGGTTTTACCAAGAAAATCTGGAAGAACTGGGAAATCAAATTTCACTGAAACCCGGACATTTTGGCACATATATCACAGTTTTGACCGACTCTGGACATTTTACCTACTAGCCCTCCAAGTAAGCAAATTGAAAGATCTATACTCACGCATTTTAGTCACATCTGCCTTCTATATAATGATATTTTTAACTTTTCAAATGCAGGCATTGATCATTCTTGCATTTGAACGGATAGATCTGAAAGATATCATACGAAAAGATGTTCTATATGCTCTCTCCAGTGTTTTCATCACAGCAGCCTTTCTCCGCTTTCTTCAAAGTACGCCACTTTCCCAAACAAATTTTCGGTTTTTTTTTACTGGAATCTCTCCTGTTCAGTCCCCGTAAGTAAGAAAAATCTCAGAAGGGTTGTGTTACATTAACCTTGTTTATAGACGATGTTGTCTGTAATAGAAAACTTACAGTGTACGTTATCAAGCATTCTTATCTTTTTTTTTTTTTTGGTAAAGAAGCATTCTTATCTTTATCTTGCTTTATGTTTCATTCTAGGTGTCCTGGACGTTGTTCTGAATTTCCCAGGATTCCACAGATGGAGATTTACTGATGTCTTGAGAAATATTCTCAAGATCATTGTTAGCTTGGCCTGGTGCATTATTCTCCCTCTTTGCTATGCTCAGTCTGTGTCTTTCGCTCCTGGGAAGATAAAATCTTGGCTGTCATTTCTTCCGCAAGTTAAGGGTGTTCCGCCTCTTTATATAATGGCTGTAGCATTGTACTTGTTCCCAAATGTGCTGGCGGCTGTCATGTTCATTTTCCCAATGCTTCGGCGTTGGATCGAGAACTCGGACTGGCATATAATTAGATTGCTTTTGTGGTGGTCACAGGTACAAAGAACTCTCTCTTTCTCCTGTAGTATGTTTAGTAAGTTCTTAATTAGTCTTATTCTGCAATTGTACTGGAGTGATATACAGTGCAGGATTATAGTTTCAAGTACATAGATAATATTCTTCGCAAATAACTGGTTACTGTTTCAAACAGTCATATATTTTCGGCTAGAAAATGAACTGTTTTGCATATTTGGCTAAATTTTTCTCAGCTGCACCTAATTGTACGGTTACCTGAATATTTGTAGACCAGCAAAAATAATGATGAAATCACTTTCCTGGATTCGTTCTGCCATACTTAAGTCTCATACTATTTGTTCACTTAGTTAATACATGCCATCCGCTAATCCATGTGAAGACTTGCTAGGAACTTTCTGAGAGTGAACATTTAAAATTTGAGGTCTATCCTTTGTCCTGCTGGAGAGCTATTTATATATGTATATGAAAGGGGGAATGCATGAAATAAATATTTTTTCAACACTCCGTTCTCATTCGCTGATGTTCCATTTTCTTCCCTGCAGCCAAGAATCTACATCGGAAGGGGGATGCATGAGAGTCAAATTGCACTCATAAAGTAAGTTTATGGAGCGGCAACGGTACTCGTGAACAAATGAGCCAAAAGGATGAAGTTTTACATTCTAATTCAATATCGTTGAGTTAATATTTTCATTGCATTGGAATTTTCAGGTATACACTTTTCTGGCTGTTGCTCTTCGGTTGCAAGTTTGCAGTTAGCTACGTTCTACAGGTTTGATACTGTAAAATATAGGGAAATCGGTGCTTAAGTTCTGATTCTGCTTTAATACTTTTCTTTCTTCCTTGTTTCTCAGATACGGCCTTTAGTGAAGCCGACGAATGCAATAATGAGCATTCGCCATGTAAAATACCAGTGGCACGAGTTTTTCCCTAATGGTGTTATTGCCTCTTATGCTCTTCATTTAGCATTTAGTTTCTCTCAGTGCTCTTAGTATTTGGACTTTGCTAAATGTTTGATTCTCTTTGCAGCTGAGCACAACTATGGAGCAGTTGTGGCCCTTTGGGTACCAGTAATAATGGTATGCCTTAACATGTCCTTTGCACAATTTTATATCTTCCAACAACCAACCATTTAAATGGACTATTCAGCAAATACATGGCTATATTATGTTTTCTTATGATTTTGGCTGTAGGTTTACTTTATGGATACTCAAATTTGGTATGCTATTTTCTCGACTATTTGTGGTGGTGTCATTGGGGCCTTTGATCGTTTGGGAGAGGTACATTCTTTCTGAGTTTATTCTTAGGCTCCTTTACTTGGTGTTTAAAACTGATAATAGCATTGTTTATCGGTCTGCTGAAGACGTAAGTGAGTCTTTAGATGCTTCTTTTAAATGGCTCTTATCACAGCCCGTGAATTATCCACTCCCTCAGTTAGCTTGTGTCACTGTTTCCATATACAATGCTGAAACTTCTCAGTGTATTTTTTTTACTGCAACACATTGTTCATCAATTTATTTGCCCTGTTCCTTTGTGCAAGAATTAATGCTTTCTGTATAACAATACTCAGCATGAAAATATTTATTCCCAGTAACTCGCCTGTCTTCTACTGCCTGCCCACAGATACGAACACTTGGAATGCTGAGGTCAAGGTTCCAGTCCTTACCTGGGGCGTTTAATACGTACTTGGTTCCTTCTGATAAGACAAGGAGAAGGGGTTTCTCCTTATCAAAAAGATTTGCCGAGGTCAGGATATATTTTTCCATTGCTAAAAGGCATACTGGAAGAAGCTAGCCATACATCAACTAAATTTTACGTGTATGCAGGTCACAGCAGCTAGAAGAACTGAAGCGGCAAAATTTTCTCAACTATGGAATGAAATAATTTGCAGTTTCCGTGAAGAGGATATTATCAGTGATAGGTAACAACTTAACTATTATTCTTTCTTCTTTATGAACTTGCATTTTCCCGAGCACTGAAAGACTAAACTGCACTCTTCTTTTAATCAGGGAAATGGATCTGTTGCTTGTTCCTTATACTTCAGACCCTAGTCTGAAATTAATTCAGTGGCCACCATTTTTGCTTGCAAGCAAGGTTCGTGGTTTTCTTTTAAAGCACAGGCAAATACTTGGTTTTTATTTTCTAAAGTTTGCTGTTCCTTACAGATACCAATTGCCTTGGATATGGCAGCACAATTTCGAACAAGAGACTCTGACCTCTGGAAGCGCATATGTGCTGATGAATACATGAAATGTGCTGTGATTGAATGCTACGAATCTTTCAAGCACGTTCTTCATAGCCTGGTTATTGGGGAAAATGAGAAAAGGTAGGTGTTTGTATTAATATTTTTTCTTAATTTAAATAAGTTTTCCTGATTCACAATTAGTGTTCACCGGGCGAGCATTTGTTTTAACACTTTGAAAGATCATACCATAGGAAACTACTCGAGAAATATACCTTATTTCTCTTCCTCAAACTACCAGCTAATCTGAACGTCTTTTCATATGGATCTCCTCTATCCTCTCCCTACTTCATTTGCTGATGCTGCACAGAAAAAATTTCCCCACGTTATGAACTCCAAAGTAGTGTCTTTCCTTTCTTGTGTAACCTTTTGACAAATGTCCTTCCTTTTTAGCAAATTGGAGCTTCAATGGACATAATATTTTTTATTTACCGCTGAGTTTTGTAAGATCACTGGAATGATGCTAACAAAAAAGGTACCATGCCACAGGATCATTGGTATCATTATAAAAGAGGTGGAGAGCAACATTTCGAAGAACGCGTTTCTTGTGAATTTCAGAATGGCTCCTTTACCTGCTCTTTGCAATAAGTTTGTGGAGCTTGTGGGTATCTTGGTAAGTTAACCACACACCAGCGTTATCTTTGTTACGGTTTTGTGGTTGTTCATTAACATAGAGCATTGCGATACTCGAGTTGATGGTTGAATATATTAGCCCAAAATATCCACCTGCTGGATTCCAAAGGCCTGTTGTCACTATAAACGTTGGGGCTCTGAACCCCTAGGTAGGCTGCAGAGTTAACTACTGAGGGGGTAATGGACTAAGGAGGGCTGATGCTCACTTCAGATTGTTTTAGGATAGAAGTTAGGATCTCATTCGTACAATCTAATACTTTGTGCATTGTCAATCATCTGAAAAGCTCAAGTATGGTGTAAACTATGATGCTGCAGAAAGACGCCGATCCATCCAAAAGAGATAGAGTGGTGCTGTTGTTGCAAGATATGTTGGAAGTAGTGACTCGTGATATGATGTTGAACGAGAACCGGTCAGTGGATTATATTGTTACAGTAACTAAAACGATTGTTTATTCCCTATGTGTGTGTCTGTTGACACACAAGCATCCACATTTTTGCCGCACTTTTCAGTGAATTGGTAGAACTTGGTCATACTAACAAGGAATCTGGGAGGCAACTTTTTACTGGTACTGATGCAAAACCTGCTATACTGTTCCCTCCACCTGCAACAGCTCAATGGGATGAGCAGGTAAAGTGTCAAATTGTGATCTGAAGCGGCAATATTTTGGTTCCTCTGCCTTCAATGTGATTGTTTTGTAACATTTTCTATTATGTCATGGTCTCTTTCTGTTGTAGATAAGACGCCTTCATCTACTGTTGACTGTCAAAGAATCTGCCATGGATGTGCCAACAAACCTTGAAGCAAGAAGAAGGATCGCATTCTTCACAAACTCGCTATTTATGGATATGCCACGTGCTCCTCGAGTCCGAAATATGCTCTCCTTCAGGTATCTGCTTTGTTCATCATCATTAGAAAATATCTGCCCCTGTAGGATGATATTTCTTTCACAAGCTGGATGCTGGTCCAATGTGCATAAAATATTTCTCATCATAGACTCCTTAGCAATTGAACCATTTCACAAAATTATTATGGACTCTTTTGTATTTGACTCCAACCACCTCTAAATAATCCAATTAAGAAGGCGTGCCTGTTTCCCACTAAGTGATCACCTTGAAGCTAAATTAACTTTTAATTCGAGTTCAGTGTTACTCATCTTTAGCAACCTGCCAAATCTCACTTCATTGATTACTATTCCTGTCAAGTGGTTGCAAACCTTTCTTGGCCACATTGGGTTGTTAATGAGGAAGGAGAGAAGAAAGCTATCACAAACCAGAGACAGGGGATTCTCGGTTATTAGCTAACTCACGGGTTTTTGTCTTGTATTTACAGTGTCCTGACTCCCTATTATAGCGAGGAGACTGTTTACTCCAAAAATGACCTCGAAATGGAGAATGAAGATGGTATATCAGTTATATACTATCTGCAAAAGATTTTCCCAGGTATGGAGCACTAAGATCTCACGTCAGACCTCGCTTAGGATTTGTTCACTTCTCCAGCCACAAGGTAACTGGTTCTGTTCACTTGTTTCAGATGAGTGGACACACTTCTTGGAGCGACTCGGTTGTAAAGACGAAGGCGGTGTGTGGGAGAGTGAAGAAAACATTTTGCAGCTTCGCCATTGGGTTTCTTTGAGGGGACAAACTCTTTTAAGAACTGGTAAATTATACTCTTCATGCGGTAACTACATATATAGTTTCTTGATGTACTTTTCTGTTACTGACAAACTATTATGCTGCAGTTAGAGGGATGATGTACTACAGACGCGCACTAAAGCTTCAGGCTTTTCTTGACATGGCTAATGAATCAGGTGAATGCATAACTGTTTATCATATGCTGAACTAAAGGTAGTTTGTTAGAAGTTCAAGAGAAATGAACCAATTAAACGATCCTAAAACAAAACGAATGAAGTAACGTTGATCAATGTTTGAAATAAATTAAACTACTCATTTTTCATATACGACACATCTAACTTCAAGCTATGACCTATGTTTTCTCATGTATACAGAAATATTGGGAGGTTACAAAGCCATTTCCGACCCACCTGAAGAGGATAAGAAAAGTCAGAGATCCTTATTTGCTCAGTTAGAAGCGATAGCAGACCTCAAGTTTACTTATGTTGCGACCTGTCAGAACTATGGAAATCAGAAGCGAAGCGGAGATCGCCGAGCTACTGATATCCTTAACTTGATGGTTAAGTACGTTCTCTATCTGCCGAATTCAAGTCTTTGAGAAATCTGAATTCCTACTTTCATGAATTCATTTTGGATGATTATCTTTTGCACATCTTAATCCTGCAGCAACCCTTCGCTCCGTGTGGCATACATTGACGAGGTTGAGGAACGAGAGGTAGGAAAAGTGCAGAGAGTGTACTTCTCTGTTCTTGTCAAGGCTGTTGATAATCTTGATCAGGTGATTGATTACTATTTCAAAATCTAAACATAATTTCTTCAAGATGAACATATTTTAACTTTCATATTATATTCTTTTAAGGAAATCTACCGTATAAAATTGCCCGGTCCAGCAAAAATAGGAGAAGGAAAACCAGAAAACCAAAACCATGCTATCATTTTCACAAGAGGAGAAGCTCTCCAGGCCATTGATATGAATCAGGTATATAACACGAGAAACCGTTTCTTGCAGTCTAGTTTAAGTTTATGTGGGCAAGGGTTTATGACCGCAGTACTCTACAGGACAATTACTTGGAAGAAGCATTAAAAATGAGAAACCTACTTGAAGAATTCAACGAAGACCATGGAGTCCGCCCACCCACTATTCTCGGTTTCAGAGAGCATATTTTCACTGGCAGGTATGTGAAATCTTTTTCTTTCTCTTGTTGGTTGCGTTCAGTGAAACATTATTCATTTAGTTGCTAATTATATGTTTTTGGGCATGTGTCTGCAGTGTTTCTTCTTTAGCTTGGTTTATGTCCAATCAGGAAACGAGCTTTGTGACAATTGGTCAGAGAGTTCTCGCAAGTCCTTTGAAGTATGTCATGTCTTTCTTCTCCCATGTTGTCAAATACATATATACCAGAAGGGTGTGATTCAGAAGGGTGTGATTTCTTTTCTAATACACGTAAATAACACAAGTGGAGACTTTTTCTTCTGATTTCAGGGTTCGGTTCCATTATGGTCATCCTGATGTCTTTGATCGAATTTTCCACATAACTCGTGGAGGCATCAGCAAAGCATCACGCGGCATAAATCTCAGTGAAGATATATTTGCTGGTACCAAATTCTCCAGGGAGAAACTTCCTACTTTAGGAAATATGTCTGTCCCATTCTCATCACTCGATTCATGTACTTATAGGTTTCAACTCAACTCTGAGGCGTGGTAATGTCACTCACCATGAGTACATTCAAGTAGGTAAAGGCCGAGATGTTGGTCTGAACCAGATCTCCCTATTCGAAGCCAAGGTTGCTTGTGGTAACGGGGAGCAAACACTGAGCAGGGATCTCTATAGATTGGGTCATCGGTTTGATTTCTTCCGCATGATGTCGTTTTACTTCACAACAATAGGCCTCTACATCAGTTCAATGGTAATAACTTCGCACCTTCAGGTCTATGGTTGGATGTCAAGCTTAAATCTACCATGAACAGTTGCATTCGTAGGCAGAAAATTCTTCCTCAAATGGCTAAACCGATTCTTTGTGTTACAGATTGTTGTCCTCACAGTATATGCTTTCTTGTACGGGAGACTTTACTTATCATTGAGCGGAGTGGAGGAGGCAATAGTTAAGTACGCATCGGCAAAGGGAGAAAGTTCTCTTAAAGCAGCCATGGCTTCACAGTCCCTTGTCCAATTAGGTTTTCTCATGACACTTCCAATGGTAATGGAGATTGGACTAGAGAGGGGATTCAGGACGGCCATCGGTGAGATAATAATCATGCAGCTTCAGTTAGCACCCGTTTTCTTCACCTTCTCCCTTGGAACAAAGGTTCATTACTATGGACGGACGATCCTACACGGTGGCGCCAAGTACAGAGCAACTGGGCGTGGCTTCGTGGTCAAGCACGAGAAGTTTGCAGAAAACTACAGGATGTATTCAAGAAGCCACTTTGTGAAAGGGCTGGAGCTTATGATGTTGCTGATATGTTACAGACTCTACGGGCAAGCGGCAGTGGACTCTGTAGCTTATGTGCTAGTGATGGGATCGACCTGGTTTTTGGTAGCTTCTTGGTTGTTCTCTCCTTTCCTCTTCAACCCTTCGGGATTTGAGTGGCAAAAGATTGTGGACGATTGGGATGACTGGTCGAAGTGGATCAACAGCAGAGGTGGGATTGGAGTCCCTGCGAACAAGAGCTGGGAATCCTGGTGGGACGAAGAACAAGAACATCTTAAACACTCGGGATTCTTTGGCAAGTTCTGGGATCTCATCCTCTCATTCCGCTTCTTTATCTACCAATACGGGATCGTCTACCATCTCAATCTGACCAGAGAAAGCCGAATGGGTAAACAGCAGAGTATCATTGTAAGTAATAGCACCACCATCTCATCTCCCTCCCGTCAACTTGAGCTTTCTAGCTACACGTCTTCCTTAGGATATGCTATCAATTTTTTTTTTTGCAGGTTTATGGTCTATCATGGCTTGTCATAGTCGCTGTCATGATAATCCTAAAGGTCAGTTATCCCGATCCTGAAATACAATACGAACCACAGTGTGTTTACATATGAGAGACTGAATTGATTCAACATGTGCAGATAGTGTCAATGGGGAGGAAGAAGTTCAGTGCAGATTTCCAGCTGATGTTCAGGCTCCTGAAGCTATTCCTGTTCATAGGGTTTGTGGTAATCCTGGGAATGCTCTTCCATTTCCTAAAGCTCACTGTGGGAGACATTTTCCAGAGCCTTCTCGCTTTCCTACCGACTGGATGGGCGCTTCTCCAGGTAACGCCATCCAACATCCAAACAACAGAATGCCTTTTCATTATCAGGAAAATAATAAAGTGGGCATCATTTTTGTTTTTGTTGGGGTGGTGGCAGATATCACAAGTACTAAGGCCGATGATGAAGGGAGTGGGGATGTGGGGGTCGGTGAAGGCACTGGCGAGAGGGTACGAGTACATAATGGGAGTGACGGTATTCATGCCAGTTGCAGTGCTCGCTTGGTTCCCCTTCGTCTCCGAGTTCCAGACCAGGCTTCTCTTCAATCAAGCCTTCAGCAGAGGCCTTCAGATCCAGCGTATCCTCGCCGGTGGAAAGAAGCAGAAATGAGACTTTGCACTCTCCTCATCTTCCATACCATAACAATGTTACCAAGAAACCAATTTACTTGCTAAAATGTGATAGCATCAATGTTTGTATCTAAGCTAATCAGTCTCTGGACTAATTTCTACGTTAACTACATTGTTACCCCAATTTCTTCATTACCAATGAGTGATTCTTTTATGTTGCGGTCTTTTGTTACACTTGAGAATTCGGTGATTGCAGATGCTGAGGCCTAACATGGACTCATTCAAGGTACCCCACGCGGAACCATATGAACATAGGAAGCATCACAAGGAGATTAACCAGGGAGGGGGACAAAAAAGGCCTGTGTCCTCCACTCTAAATTCCACAAAGGCATATAGCTAGCTAAGCTACACTGTTAGTGACACTTCCTCATGTTTCAAGATCACACCTGCTACACTCTCTAAGTCAAAGAAGACTACACAAACACAGGGAAGTGGAGACAGAAACAAAAAAAAAAGAAAAAAAAAAGAAAACACAGGATGACTTCAAATCACCTAGGCTCGACATTATGTGTCTCTGAACCTCGCAGGAATGACCTACGCCACCAAATCTGAAACGCCTTGCTGAGATTAGGACACTCGGTCCCCTCCTTGGAGAACCTCCTGAACCATTCCATGAACAGCGGATACTGCTGTTTAAGAGGAAGTGTTAGTAGAGTCTGGCCTAACCCCTCCTCTAGCTGCCGCACATCGAGCCCCTTCTTGCACCGTTTGAGCCAACCAAAGTCCACTAACATCGGCCTATACCATGCTTCTAAAAGCCCCAACCTCGTTTCCGTTCTGCATTGCAGTTTTCTCGTTCCCATTGCTATGAACAGAACCCCGGAAACTCTGCTCAACTCGTACCTCACCATTGGAGACGCCATCTCATGCATTTCCACTAGTCTTCTTTCCTTCGCCCATATATCAACAAAACCCTCACCTATTTGTCGATCAACCATTATCTCTAGCAGCCAATTGATGTTATCCACCTGTCTTGAAACACGTTCGATCAAAGGCTTGCATTTACTTGTCTGTCTTATCTCTGCATTAGTCTGAGTAGTACCAGAGGCCTCTTTGATAAGGTCAGCTAGCGAATCCAAACAAGAGTTGCATGCTGTGTAGATGTCTTCCCTGCTGAGCTCAGGTTGTACTTTCTCATAGACTGAACTTTTGCAAAGAAGACCCTTTACCAATGACTTGAGCTCGTTTCTAGCATTGGCATCAGTGCCGGAGGTAATTGACCAAACCAGTTGCTTTGATAGGCTCTGATGTGAACCTTCGGTCTCATTTGACTTTAATCTTGCTAAGATTTCACTGGTTGCAGCAACATCAAAGTTAAACATCGTAAGAACTACCCTTAGTTTTTCCTCTTCTTCCTCGGTCCAAGGAACAGCTTCAAGGTATCTTAGACAGGACATGACAGCTCTTGAAAATTTAATGCCAGTGGCTACCTGTCCATTGGTCAAGACAACTCGTTAGCTTCGTCATCAGAAAAGGTGTCACGTGTACTATGATGATAACGAACTTCACACGCAGAACCCAGGTACAATTTTGACAAAGCTGTGCTCACACTAGAGTATTCAATTTCAGACACATGCAAATCAGACATGTTTCACACACGGAGCCTGAGAATAATACCAGTCACCAAATATTCGTCTAGAAAGAAGAAAATGGTACACTGCAAACTGCAAAGCCTCGATATTCATGAGGTGAAAGGCAAAAATATATTCGATCAGCAACAAAACTTAAGCTTAATTCTGATTGGCATGAGCTTTTTCTGAGTCCAAAAGCAGCTAGCTGAACATATAGAATACGTCCGAGTCTGACACATAGAACACCTGCCTCTAATAACATGCTCATGATCTAAACACATTAAGGAAGCTTCAATATGCCCAAATCCTATTTTGATCCTACATTATAACACACTCTATCAAAATGTGGGATATTCATTTCCATGTCTCAAGGAATAAAATATTCATCCTGAAGAGTAGAGCCCTTCACAACTAGTTACTAGTGTGGGTTGCAATGTTCAATCAATTTGAAGAGGAGACATCTTACTACTGGGCACAGTTTCAGCTAAAGATGTATGAGCTCAACGTTTTGGAGGCTGGGATTACAGGCAAGCACTGGTGTTGGCTCTTTTTCCTAACAAAGCCAGATTCCTATCACCCCCTCTATCACCCCCTCATATGCTTGACATTGTTCTCTATGATCAAAGTATTAAACTTTCAGGCCAAGCATCAACGCAGCAAAACTTACCCAGAGGCTCAACTATGGAGCAAGCAACAAGAGTATAAACTCAAAGAAAACCATTTCCATAAAGCTAGTAGACTGGTCCAATTTAACAAGCAAATGGAATATAGAGTATTGGACTCAATTCTCACAAAAATTAAGAGCAAAACCAAAACATCCTCTCGCACAATTTCGATCCAACCATAAGCATATGCAACAAGATATCCAATAAAAAGAAACTTCGCAACTACTTTTGTAAACCCGTCAAAGAGACGAGAGAAATAAGCCAAAAGGAATCGCATTTCCCTACCTCAAGAACATCAATGGCTCTGTAGACACCCATTTTCATTAACTTTTTGACGATGCAATCATCGTTCTCGAACATGAGCTCTATAGTTTCCCTGAAAACCCCAAGATTCACCATATCCGATACTTCAATTCTGCAAGTGTTCTTAAACCCCGAAAATGAAGACGGAGAAGAAGAGGAAGAAGGACCCTTCTTGCTCTCTGCAATCAATGCCGCGAAAACCTCCGAATTCGCCGCTAAAATCTCCGAACTCAGCTCCAGGATTAAAAGCTCACCGTTTCTCCCTTTCAGACACAGCCTCGCGTCGAAACCATCCACCTTCTCCGACCCACAATCTGGAGCCGCACCCGAATTCGGAAGCGGACCCGGACTCACACCCGCAACCGAGACCGATAGTTCAATCTTCGGCGCTCGGAAACTCCCCGACCGCGATTTCGGCACTGAATCCGTCACAACCATCTCGGCGTCGCAACTGTTCTCTTGGATTGAATCGAAGGTGGGATCCGAATCGATGGGAGAAACCCGACCCGGGGATAAGATCCGACGTGGGCCGATCCGACCCACGATGTTTAAACTCGATTTGGAGCTTTGCGGCGAACATGGAACGGAAATGGGTCCTGATTTCTCAACCGGGTCAGGTTTTGCCCGATGTTGACGAGACCTGGTGTGGTTGTGGTGACGTGAGGCGACTGAGAGAGTATCGGGGCTCGACGGAGGTACGGCGAAAGAGCAGCACCAAGATCGCCGGTGAGATAAGGGTTCGCCTCGAAAACTGCTAGGTTTCCGGTGACCGGAGTTGTCCATCGTCATCACGAGCTGGATCACGAGACGGAGAGAGAGAAAGTGGAGGGTGAGCTGGGGGTTTTTTACCCAAACAACCCACTTCGTTCACATCTATTTCACCTGTACACCACAAAAAACATAACACATTTTTTTTCCTGTAAAAAGACGAAATTACCCTTAATGAATCACGGTATTTATCCATTCAAAAACAACTTCGTTATTACGACTTCGTAATTAAATCTAAATATAGTTACAATTGATTCTTAAAAAGGTGGCAAAAAAATTATCTGTCTTATTTTAGTTATATATCAGTTATATGTTAGTCGTAATAAAGTCGCAAAAAATAAAACGAAAAGGGTATTTCGGACTTTTCCACCCGAAAAGTGGGTTAAAATTGAAAAAAAAATTTTTTTTTTTTTTTGGTGGTGTACACTGAAATAGATGTGAATGAAGTGGGTTATTTGAGAGATTTTCCCGTGAGCTGGTGGTGAAGCGAAGGAAAAGGAACACTACTGTGAGCTTGTGATCCCGGTTTATATAAAGAAACTAACCATCGATCGTGATTCGTGAAGCAATATTTATCTTTTGTTTTTTTTCTTTATAATAATTATTTTCGAAATTATTAAATTTTATTTTATTTTTTAAATATTTAATGTGAATAAATTACTTCGGAAATATTTATGTACCAAGGGACTTGAAAAAAAACGAGAATTTCCATTCCAAGTGTCGTTTGGTGCGTTTAATTTTCATTCCCAAATTTTGTTTGATTCCTTTTCAATGTTATTATGCTTTTTCAGAAGTTTTGCTTTCTCACTCTTCAAAAGAAATTAAAAATTTGCACAAGAGGGTCCATAAAAAAAAGTTAAAAACATAATCTTAGATATTTAAATATTTTTTTAAAAATCAATAATCGGGGAACATCGCAACAGTGAGAGACGTTGAAAGATGTGAAGACTTTGGAGCGTAGTTCAGTTATGTTGGTTGATTCTTTCACGAAATGACAATATTACCCTCAACCGTTTGTGACCTATATGGCTTACCAAATTTGAGGGTGGAATCGTACTTTCGGTAGGTCTGATTCGGTTACTTATTGGTTTCCGAAATCCATGAATCTGGTTTTTTTATTTTTACCTTCTTCCAACGAACGGATAAATACGGATAATAATACAAAAAATAAATTCTATTTACCTATAAATTAGGATTAGAAGTTTTGGTTCAATTATACAAAATCAAAATAAGATATATATAAGCGAATTATTTTAGAATATAAATGGGTACGATATGATTTAGTGTTTTGTGTTGGATATTAAGTTTTGAGGCTGAGAATTTGTATTGATCAATACAAAATATTCCTTTCGTTTTAAAATATACGTCATTTTAGAAAAAAAATTTGTTATTAAATAAATGACATTTTACATTTTCTAAATAATTTTTAATAAAAATTTTGATTTTACCCTTATCTAAAAACATCTCACCTCAATAGACAATTAATGAAAATATGGTTTAATAAAGGTATATATGACTTTTTTTTTGTTTTTTTAAATACTGTGATAAAATGTAAAAAGACAATTATTTTGAAAGGGGGGAATATATATTAACGTTTGAATATCTAAAAAGTGTTTAGTGATAAACACAAAGTCTACTAGAGATTCACATGTACGAATAGTAGTGTTAATGGGACATGGGTAATATTCAATGTTTTTATTTTTATTTATTTATTTTTAAAATCAACATTTATAAACGTGAAAAAAAAATCATGCATGGGAGGGGAAGATCCCCGCTTTCTGATTAAAGAAAATCATGTAAATAATGGTCCCGAAACCAAAGTAAAATTAGTTTGCAAATCTTTGACGTGGCTTGGTTCATTGGAAAATTCAAACATTATCCAATTAGTTCTTTTTTTTTTTGTAAAAATAGTCAGTTCTCTTTTCTTTTTCATACACGAGTTTAATACACTTGGACCGAAGCCCACCTACTCTTGTGGGTTCGCTGTCATTATATATTAATATTATGGAGCCTAAAAAATAAAATCCAACGTATGAATCATCCATGCAAATTTGATACGCTTGATATTTCTATAAACAGATTTTTTTTTTTATAATCTATAAGTTTATTAGGTTTTTGACTAAATTAAATTTTTGGTTTAATATTATTTTTTATTTTTTTAAATTTTATAAAAATAATATATATTTGATTTTCCTGTGAATCTTTTTGTTTTTTTTCATAACTATTTTATATTAACTCAACAGTTGGTGATCCAGTGGTTGATAGATGATAAAGTCATCTTGAAGACAAAAAATAAATAATTTCTAAATCAAAATGATTCATATACAAAGGGTGATCCTAGGATCAGTGTGGATGTAATGGTGATTATAAAAAAAAGTGTTTTATATTAAACAATATTTGATTTTTAAAGAAATTTTTAATTTTTGTTTTTTTTTATGATTTTCATATTTAAATCCAATGTTATTTTTTTTTAATTTAATGAATTTAATTTATGAAAGTTTATACGTAACGAATTTTTGAATTGGTTTTCAGAGATGATTTCTGTCTTAATCCAGAGTAAGTGACACTCACAAAATCTTTTTATTGATTAATTGCTTAAAAAAATCCTTCCCTAATCCCTCTTCCCATAAGGCATATCCTTGGATGAACTCTCTTCTAAATGCCTCGCACTCTCCTTTCTCTTTTCCCGACAAAACAAAGTTTAACCGTTTAATTTATTTGTCTGTGATAATATAATCTTTCATCCTCCTAAACAGAGCTCATCCATATGAACATCATGGTGTCACCATCATGATGATCGCACATGAATGATACCATCATCGCTTTCGTTGAATGCGTGCGTGTTTGACTTTGACCATTATTTATTTATTGGTTTCAATCAATCTTACTATATCAACCCAGATGATGTAAAGCCTCATTTTTCGCTCAAAGAAAATTCTCTGTTTCTCACTACGGCTATGACCCAGCTTCCTCTGCCTCCGTTACTTTATTCGCTCTTCGTCTCTTGCCGAGAACTTCTCCTCCCTGTTCTCCACTTTCTCAAAGTATTCTCGAGGCAAATATCATCCTCCCCTTTTGTTCTTCGATCTTAATTCTTCCTTCTTCTGGAGACGATCGCAGTTTCAGGGAGGGGGTTTGAATCGGAAAGAGTTAAGCTTTTTGGTTTGATTTCGCCGAGAATCGATTGGGTTCTCTTTCCAAATTGGTCAACGGACGAATACGCGTCGAGGGTCTCTTCCTTTAAAAAAAAAATTGTTTTCTTTGGTTATCTGGGTTTATTTGTTGAAGGTCCTGAATCGAGGGTTCCAGATCCTTCTCTGGGGTCAAAACCTTGTTGGGACGTTTTCCGGTGATTAGTGATGAGGGAGGATTCTAGGGTTTAGATTAAGTGTGGGAAGTGGAAGAAATGGAACAAAGATCGTTCCCTGGCTTCGTTTGGTTGATGTTGGTGTTTGATTTGGTTGTCAGAGTCTCCAGCAACGCAGAAGGTCTATTTCTATCTCTGTGGCTTGAAATGTCCATGTTTGGTTGACATTTGCCATGAATGTTTGGAACAAGTCTTTTACCAGAAGCCGGAATTGACTGATATCGGTTAGTGTAGATTCTTGTGACTCGTGTGCAATAGTTAGATGAACTAAAGATTGCCGATTTCTGAGTAGTTTGTTGGTGGAAGGAGAGAATTGGGGTATAATCAGTATGGGGTTATTTGGAATAACTTTGCCCAGTTACTTGGTTCTTTCCAGATTTTGGTTTACTTAGGGTTGCAGGGTTGATTTGAGTTATGTTGTGTAGCTGCGTCACAGTGCTTTACAAGTTAAATTGCTGGAATTCTGATGCTATGATCTCGTCTCAGCTGAAAATCATCGGCTCCTTCTTTTTGCATTATTGGCTGCTTTGAATGATCTGATGTTGTTGCATTCCAATGTCCATTGATCATGGGAGTCAGTCAGCCTACTAGTCCTTGATATAAACTTGGGACTAAGGCGATGTTGATGTTGATGTTTCGGTGCCTTCAGGTGATGCCTTGAATGCTCTGAAAACCAATTTGGCAGACCCTAAGAAGGTGCTCCAGAGTTGGGATCCCACTCTCGTTACTCCCTGTACATGGTTTCATGTTACTTGCAATAGTGAAAATAGTGTTACACGTGTGTAAGTTCCACCTCTCTTTCTGCCCTCAGAATTTGTTCAACTTTTCGCATATAGTGAGAGTTTTGTGTTCTTCGTTTTTGCTCAGCGACCTTGGAAATGCAGATCTATCTGGTGAGCTGGTTCCGGATCTTGGCCAGCTTCCGAAATTGCAGTACTTGTAAGGCATCTCTTTATCGAGCAGATTTTCTTTATTACGGCATCTGTTCATTGTCACATGGGTTTTGTATCTGTTGATTTTCTTTCGATTTCAACTGCTTCAGTTATTAAGGACATAAATTAACTTGAAGTTGTGGTACCGGACCTCTGCAATTATATCATCGATATTAACCTAGACATTGACTTAGCATTGTGACTTATGAAAGACACCGTCTTTTCATCCTGAAGAGTTGAGCTAAACTGCAGTTAGATTCATCTCTGGTGGCCTTTAACTGTAGTTTTCTAAGTCGTGATCCCAATTTTTTTTTGTTCAAAGTTACTGGGTGATTCTGGTTGCCATATCCTGCTTCGGTGCTTCTTAACCTAGCTTTCTGGTTACTAGTTTTATGAATTCTCGTTTTGTGAGTTCAAATATTTTGTCAAATGTATTGTTAAGCGAAGCTTCAATGACAGGGAACTGTATAGCAATAACATTACCGGGACGATACCAGAGGAGCTAGGGAACTTGACTGAATTGGTGAGCTTGGATCTTTACTTGAACAATTTAAGCGGTCCAATACCATCAACTCTGGGCAGACTACAAAAGCTACGGTTCTTGTATGTACCCATAATTTTTTCATCCCTATATGATTGATTATGTTGCATTTTTGTCGATCTACACTCATTGATGATTAATATATATTCTAAAATTGTGAATTTTACTCTATTTTCCTTTTGTGGTCAGGCGTCTCAACAACAATAGCTTATCTGGAGAGATTCCAAGGTCACTGACTGCTATACGTACGCTCCAAGTTCTGTAAGTGTAACCTTGTCACTCAAAATTCCTATGCTGTTTTGGTTTTGTGATTATTGCTCGGCCAACCTCACCATTAACTAAGGCAGAAGATGATATATCATCTTTATATGCCAGGGACCTCTCAAACAATCAGCTGTCTGGAGATATTCCTACTGATGGTTCCTTTTCATTGTTCACTCCTATCAGGTTTTTGCTTCTTAATCCCAGTTTTTCTCCCCCTTTGCTTTCATGATCTCAATTGAATCTGCCATAATGATTTACTAATTGTTGAATCTCATTCACAGTTTCGCCAATAATAAATTAAAGCCCCTTCCTGCATCTCCACCGCCTCCTATCTCTCCCACGCCGCCTTCACCTTCAGGTTTTCCTTTTTGCATGCTTTTTTTTGTTGTTTCTTCAACCCTTTTTTTTCGGTCCGTAATTGCATTACATTATCGTTGTAGCAGTTTGATTCCTCATAAAGAACGCAATCTGGAATTTTACCGTGACCAATTTTTTGCCCTTTGCACACACTATCAACGTGTATACTATCCTCTCTGTGTTGTTTGGTGGGCAATAAGAAGATTTTATTCGGAACCTTTCCTCCTAGGATGTGACCTAAAGCCCGCATGTTACTTGTTATTTTTGGTTGATGGTGGGAAGAGAATATGAAATTGGTGCTGATGGCATTGGTTGCTGATGATACCCTTGAATATTCGGTCGACGGCTTCTTAGTTTCTCTGTTAAATTACATATATAGCTGCATGATTGATAATTAATTAATTTTATTTTACTAAAATAAATTTAGTAGACAGGCATTATCCAGATCCAGAAAAAATCTTGCAGTATAAATATGTATATTCTATAGGAAAAAAGATTCATAAGCGCGAATGTACTTGCACTTTGAAACTATTAATAAACGCGCTTATGAATTGAGACACATGTATGTACTGATAAGCACACCATACCAAGCACATATTTCCGGGCCCTATTTCTCCTCCTGGTTTTGTGAGAAACGACTTCTGTTCGAATTGCTTGAGGATTTGTGATAAAAGATCGAGGTTGTCTGATGCTGAAAGTTTCTGTTCGAATTGCTACTTTCGAATCAGATTTAGTATTTATTTCTCCATTTGAATGATCTCGTACTTGCAGCGAACAAAAATACAGAAGCAATTGCCGGAGGAGTGGCTGCAGGTGCGGCACTTTTATTTGCTGCTCCTGCCATTGTACTTGCTTGGTGGCGAAGCAAAAAACCGCAGGACCACTTCTTTGATGTACCTGGTTAGTTAACTTCCATTGGCCGGTTAGCTTTCCATTAATGCTCCTTTAGCTGATTCCTGGTTTGTTGTCTTCGCAGCTGAAGAGGACCCAGAAGTTCATTTAGGACAACTGAAGAGGTTTTCCTTGCGGGAACTACAAGTTGCTTCGGATAACTTTAGCAACAAAAATATTCTGGGTAGAGGTGGTTTCGGTAAAGTGTATAAAGGACGGTTGGCTGATGGTTCTCTAGTGGCTGTTAAACGCCTGAAAGAGGAACGCACTCAAGGTGGAGAACTTCAGTTCCAGACCGAGGTTGAGATGATCAGTATGGCTGTTCACAGAAACTTGCTTCGGCTACGTGGGTTTTGCATGACACCGACAGAAAGATTGCTTGTCTATCCCTTTATGGCGAACGGAAGTGTAGCTTCGTGTTTAAGAGGTAGGTATCTCGTATTTGATCCTGAAAACTCGGACAGTTCTGCCCATTCCTGGGACAATCCTTTCGGGGTTTGGAATCTGAACCATTTTTACCGTATTTTTTGAAATTGAAAGCATCCTTACCTTCTCTTGTTTTCTTTAAGAACGTACTGATAGCCAACCACCTCTCGATTGGCCAAAAAGAAAGCGTATTGCACTGGGATCGGCGAGAGGGCTAGCCTATTTGCATGATCATTGTGACCCGAAGATCATCCATCGAGATGTGAAAGCTGCGAATATATTGTTAGATGAAGAATTTGAAGCTGTCGTTGGTGACTTTGGACTTGCAAAGCTCATGGATTATAAGGACACTCATGTGACTACCGCTGTTCGTGGTACAATTGGCCATATAGCACCAGAGTACCTTTCCACCGGAAAATCATCTGAGAAAACAGATGTTTTCGGGTACGGAGTCATGCTTCTCGAGCTCATTACAGGGCAGAGGGCCTTTGACCTTGCCCGGCTCGCAAACGACGACGATGTCATGTTACTTGACTGGGTATGTAATACAATCTCCCTTTCATATCCACAAAATCTGCAGTTACAGTGTGTGGGTTATACTCCATTTTTATGGTCTATGCTCTTTGCCTATGCCTGCATTCGTTTTATGGGATTCATCAAGGAAATCTGGATATAAAAGGGCCGGTTTTGGCTGTGGATTTCAGGTGAAAGGGCTACTGAAAGAGAAGAAACTCGAGACACTCGTAGATGGAGACCTTCAAGGGAACTACGTCGAGGAAGAGGTGGAGCAACTGATACAGGTGGCTCTCCTCTGCACGCAAAGCTCTCCGATGGAACGTCCCAAGATGTCGGAAGTCGTGAGAATGCTCGAAGGAGACGGGTTAACGGAGAGATGGGAAGAATGGCAGAAGGAAGAGATGTTCAGACAAGATTTCAACTACCAAACTCATCACCATCAGGCCAACACCGGTTGGATCATCGCTGATTCCGCGTCCCACATCGAAAACGAATATCCCTCGGGTCCTCGATGACCCTTTAACCCTCCCTACCTCGGGTTCTCGTACGATCTACACAAATACCTTCTCCACGCCTGTCTATAGTGCATTCACCTCATTCCTTCCTCTTCTTTTTCGTTTTCCGTTTTCGATTCAGATTCTTTTTTTGTTCTTCCTTCTGGGGTTTGGCATCTTTTCAGTACACATGAACAGATTTGGAGTTTTCTTTTGATGATGTAAGTTTTCATAGGGTTTAATGATTTCAAGTGCCAAAATGGAAATCCCTATTATCCATTTTCTGTATTCCCTAAGTTCCTTTTGAAGAATGTACTTTGAACCACATTTTTGTGTAAACTGTAATTATCACCCGTTTATCATCTCGCATTAATTAGTTTGCTGGATATGCATGTGAAATATTGGTTTCCATATATGTGTCATTCCGTAATCATATGAAATGTTATAATATATGCTTTTTTGTTTCGGTCGATATGTGAATGCACAGAAGAATCAAAGCGAGATCAAGATGCAGCCCCAACCAAAGTTTTTTAAAGATTCTCCAAAAAAAAAAAAAAAGCATACCCTAAACAAGAAATATCGAAAAACTTTTGGCAGTTTTCGGGTTTCAAAGATGCCAAAATTCAGCCTTCTTGATCTTGGAAACGCTTTCGAGCAGTTCCATGGGCGAAACGTTTCCTTGGACCATCACCATCTTCGTCTCGAGATCAATGCTGAACCATTTCACACCTACGCGAACCCACAGAACCATATTCATTATATTATTTCATATATACACGAAACAAAAAACATATGTGTGTATATACATACATACATACATACATACATATATATATATGTATATACAGAGTAAAGAGTCAGAGAACTTGCATGAAGGGACCACCCGTTTTCTTGTTTACACGGAATAATTAAATCCCTTTTTTAATTAGCATTTAATGGATTTGTTTGCCATTTTTACCATATTGATAATGATTTGAATGATCCTCTATGTTACCATGTTGACCAACCACTTGTAACAATATGAGATTACATCGTTTTCAATTTTCATATCCCCGCAATAAATAAATAAATAAATAAGCCAATGTTCATACGTTCTTTACAAGATTCAAAGCATCTCAACATACATACCATGAATTTGAGATATTTTATTAACCGGGGAAACTTTAGAAAGCTTTCACTATTATTAATCTCATGTGCATGGAAACTATATCCTAAACTATTCTAACATTCGCTGAAAAGATTTCAGAACCAAAAACACTAAAAATCCAAAACATGTACGTAGGAATCTCGAATCATACCGTCCATCTTGGAGAGGTGTTTCTTGACCTTACCAGCACAACCCTGGCAATGAATCGAAACCCTCATCACCACAACCTGTAACAAATTCATCAAAATCCCGAAAAATACGATTTTTTTAATGTATATATAAACTCTCATCATAAAAACAAAGATTATTACCATTCTTTTTTTTTATGAAAAATTTATCGTATAGAAACCGCAAAGAAGCTTTTAGGGTTTCATAATATATATATATATATATATAACTTAAAAGACATTAACCTAATGACCAATATAGGATTCATAACATTGTGCAAGTGATTTATAGGGCCAAAAAATGGCCATTTTGTGTATAAAACTCATTAGAGAACAAGAATATGACCCTAAATAAAATCGCATTTTTATATCATTTTCCACCGTTCAAGTGAAACACATAACCTGGAAGACGTCGTTTGGACGTGGACTAAGCATTTTCGTGACTCGAGATTGGTCTCTTGGGACCAATCTTGTTCTCGAGGAGTCGTCCTCCACGCCCGGGTTTCTTGAGACGCAAGGCTTCCTCGGAGGGAGGAAGACGGAGCGGTGTGGATCGTCTACGATGCAGCCCACCATGGTTGCGGTGGACTGGCACATCAACCCTCTCATCGTCTTCATCCTCTTCCTTGCCTCTGCCCTGTTCTTCATCTTCTCCCTCGTTTCTCTCTTTTAATGACAGAGCAGATGAAAGATATTTATTTATAGAGAAGTTTTGGTAATAGTTTTCAAGAGAATTTTTAATTAAATGTCCATAAGAAATAATGCAGAGCCAGAATTGAAATAAGCTCATCCTGTAAACAATTGTAATTCGAGTCTGAAAATTTCTATTTTTAGGGATAATTTGCTAGTGACCTCGATTTTAATATTTTTATTTTTTATTTATTAAAATGGCAGAACGCATGTGATCGATTTCATTTAAAAAAATACATCATTTTTAGTATATAAATGTAGACACAAAACTTATTCTACATTTATATATCAAGAGAAGAAAAAAATAACACATTTAAAATTAACTTGGAAGTAACAATGTGATTTTAGTATTTTATTTTACATGCTCAAAAGTAAATCAGAAATACAGCAAATCCTGCAATATATATATATATATATATATAATAAAAGTTGTGAAGGTAACTGCCAAAAAGCTCTTGGCTCATAGGTCTATGTATGAACTTGAATGGCAAAGGAGTATTAACTAGGGTTGCCAAAAATAGAAAATAAGAAGAGTATGGGGTCAGAAATACAAATATGGAAAAGTTTCAGTCTTTCTCATGTTGGAGTTGACATCACCATTACTAAATTTTGTCACATTCCATGTCAGAAACAATTGCAGGTCCCCATTTTTACTCAACTTATTTCTTCGGACGTTATATCAATGTTCGAAATTAAAATATATAACTAAACTTAATTATAAACTTCATTAGTTAAAATTCAATCATTATTTTTTTTTGATGGATTTTACTCTTTGTATCCATCCCATGTGGATGGTTTAACTGATTATTACTGAAATGCCCTCCCACCAAGCTTATCTCAAGTGCCCTTTAATTGATAGATACATTTACCTCACTAATTTTGATTTGAGGGACGAACAAGCATAACCAATAATCCTTTTTTTTTTGGTAAATAATAACCAATAATTCTCTATTCATCGGAATTCTATTAACTCGAGCTGGGGGCCACCACCTGTAAACAACAAAAGTATTTTTTTATAAATAGAGAAAAAAAGGGTCCCAATCTATAAATAAGGAAAAAACAAATGCTGAAATCATGTCCGTCATTAGAAATAAAATAGTGGTGACGGGTTTCGGTTCGGTTATATTCGGGTTATTTCAATTATAAAAAAACTATAACTATTCAGTTTTTATATAAATTTCGGTTTGATTCGATTCATATTCGGCAAAAAAATTCATTTTTTCAAAAAAATTGTCGATTTTTTGTTTTTTTTTTTTCAATTTGGTTCAACTTCATTTCAGTTTTTTCGGATTTAAAAAATCATAACCGTTCAGTTTTGTTGTTAGGTTCGGTTCAGGTATGGTTATATCTTATTTGGTTCGATTATTCGGTTAATAATCGAAATGACCATGCCTAGTTAGAATCACAAGAGATGTATAACTGTATCATTTAGCCATCTTTAACAATATAAGGCTATAAGCGTTAGTGAAAAGCCTTTTAAATTTTTTTTTTTGCAACCTGTAAATCCCATATTAGTGTATGTATTGCTGTAAAAACATAGGTAAGAGAAAAATTTTCCAACAAATATAAAGGGGCATTTCAATAATAAAAATCCATGAATATTAAAAACAGATTTGTACAAAGGTAACCACATTCTCATCACAACTCTCTTTGAAAACTTCTCTCTTAAGTCTCGGATTATATCCTTTGGAACAACCAACCACATAAGAGAGGACTCAAGACTGTACGATTTGAAATATCCTCCTCTGTGGTCGCGGGAGAAAAACGGGTTACCGAGTTCTTACCAAAGAAACGATAACGGTTACAGCATCGGGTTTCCCGCCTCTGTATCTGTTGTAACCCGCTGCTCGGGCTGCATCCGCAAATGGAGTTCTTGATGAAGCACAACTCCCGACTTCCTGCGCCTTTTCGGCCAGCAACTCCGCTATTTTCTGACATACCGATCCTTTGTTAGCTCACCCGAAGTTTTCTAGTTTTTCAGACTAAAAATGTGGACTTTGGTTCACCGAATCTTTTGGCTAAAGCATCGGATGGTTCGATTTGATAACTGAAGCTCCCGAGTTGATTACCGAAACCCCTTGATTTAAGTTAAGAAATTAGTTTTGAGATTTAACAAATTATGTTTACTTCCGGGTTTGAGGTCTGATTTTACAATGACTCGCCCTTGGGTTACCTTTTGAAATATAAGAGACGCAAGTGTTTGTACCTGAGGTTCCGAATTCTGTTGGAGTGAACTGGAGACCATGGAAACGATTTCTCTCTCATATAGATTGTCGAAGAGTCCGTCAGTTGCAGCGACAATTACATCGCCCTCGTCCAGATTGACACGGTAAACCTGTATCATACATCAAAGCAATATTTAGACATGTTGCCCATATTCTGTTCAAGATTTATCATCACCAATGCCTTACTGCATACCGCTTCTATTTCGAAATGCGGTATAGAAAACCGTTCAATTGAAGCACGTTTTAAGTTATTGCACCATACCTCTGCAAGTTTCGAAGGATCATCGCCTCGCGTTAATTGCAAGGGAAATCCAAACTCGTGGAACATAGGAGAAGACTTCTGCAGTACTGTCCCGTCCCTAATAACCATGAACCCAGAATCTCCGACATTCGCGACGTGGAGTTCCTGGAAATGTATACATGATCAACGAACGATTATATAAAGATCGATGGTTTCACATTCTCCTCTACTCATGCAAGGAACACAAAAGGACCCGAAAACATGATATATGATTGGTGCATTCTTCGAGACAAAAGGAGCAAAATAGAAGCATGTTTTAGAAACTAGGTCTCACATGACCGTCGAAATGAGCAACCAAGGCTGTTGATGATCCATTGGATTTGGTTTCACTCGCACTTCTACCGAGTATTTCAACAGGGTCAGTTATCTGGACACTTTCATCTGAAATAATCTTTTGACAGTTGTTCAAGAGTTCTTGAGCGTATACCCCGGCATTGATTCCTGAAGAATAAACCGATATATTAAAGACGAAAAGCAATTAGACATGAATTCCTGAGAATAATTTGGGTAACCACATGGAGATGGATGACATGTACCTTCAAATGACCATTGACAGACTCCATCAGCAACACCTAACCATCTTTGGTGAGAGATAAAATAAGCATCTTCCCGACCTGCCAATGCCTGGACATTATTATTTCTAAATTACTAACGACTTTATATATCCAAATTCACTTCATAATGAAAAACAATGAAATATCAAGATCAGCAAAAGGATACAATTTGTAAAATTCGATATGCGGAATTCAATGGTCCTTGATAAAAAATGCTTTTTTGCTCAACAAATGTCATGCTTGCAAACTGCCTGCAGTAGAATTCTGCTGAATTATAGTAAAACAGAAACCAAGGGCCTTCTTGAAATTATTAGGTGCTAACTCATTTTCTCGAGATTTCTCAAAATGTAAAACTTTATAGAACAGACTCTGGGTACTGCAGTAGGCAGAGAATAACAAGTACCTTACAAGGCTTTTGAAGAGAGGTGAAACCGGAGTCCAAGTAAAACTCTTTAGGTGCAATTTCTTCTCTGTTTAGCTATCAAACATCAGTGAGAGCAAACCATATGATTGCTAAACATGCAAATACAAGGACAAACCATAACTTACCTCCTTGAAGCCGTTTCAATGGATGCTGGTTCGGTCATGTCAGTTGCAAATAATTCGACATCGTCACCTTTCTTTGCATCCAAAGTTCTTTCCTCTTTTGTGGTTGAAACCACGATTTCAACATCATCAGACCTCATTGTCGCCTTCAAGAAAGATAAAAGTCAACAAAGAGGTGGCAGATTTCAATTCTTATCATCCTTTACTGCCGTTCTCTATCAAATGACACGATTGTCTATTTCCTCTAATAGACAGACACAATTTCTTAAATTGTAATGGTTACCACTTAGGACTCACCACATCAGATTGGTCAGTCACTGACTTTTCGTCCGTCCCATCCACACCATCATGTGTTGCTCCAGAGGTTGGAATGAATTCATCAGGAGTCACAACAGCTGTTGCCTGCTGTTCATCAAAATGATTCGATGTAGGGTCAAAATCTGTGATGGGGTTTATTACTGCATCAAAGTTACCACCATGGCCAATAGTGGAGACATGCATGACCTTGATACCACCAGTCTTCTCCTCTGAAACTTCCTCAGCTTCATGATTCTCAGAGAAAACTTCTGAAGTAGGTAATTCAGATGTTGTTTCGCTTTCTGTATGCTTCTCGGCGATTTCTGGATAATCACGTGTCTCAGAACAGTCCGAAGAAGATGATTTAGCAACTACTTCACTCTCTACAGCGTTCTCCATGACTTTAGGATGAATATAAGCCTCAGCTGCTGCTACACTCTGATTTGTCGTCTCAGAATCCCCAGAAATGGAGACCTTTTTTTCGTGGGAGGTTTTACAAATGGTGGTGACCTTTTCTTCCTTCGAATTCATCTCGGACAAATTAGCGTCTTCGGTCTCGACTTTGTCATCATGCAGAGATACACTCACTGGGCTCGAAGATTCTTTCTTTTTCTTTGAAGGGGAACGCGGCCTTTTACGATCCTTAATCTTGATGACATCGCTACGATTAGCAGGAACAGCTCTCTCCTCCTTAACTGTTTTCACGTTAGAGCTCATCGTTTCTGTCTCCGAATTAGATTTGCCATTAGGAGCTTCCAATTCCGGAAGGTGAACAGAATCTTCCTTCACCGCTTGTTCCGCTGAAACCCCACTGGCTTCTTCTGCTATCTCAGACCCCTCTTCCTGTACTACACTACTCGTTGGTTCTTCCTTTTCAGCATTTCTTTCGATTTCACTCGCATCTCCAAAACGGAAGACATGGCTTCCATCGTGAAGCTCTACACAACAAGTACAGACTATAAGCATTAAGCTCGTTTATCTACTCTAAGCAGTTCTACCCACTATCAATCGTGCAGCACGAAATTCAAACCAGATCAAACCCTAAGACCACAAGTCGAAGACAATCAGATGAACACGTAATTTACAAATTTCTCGTTGCCAATTTCGTTAGTAAGCATCAAAATTCGGAAAATGCTGTCTGAAACAAGGAATTTGAGGAAAATTCGGCGGTTTTCCTGAAATTGCGTCTTTCCTCTCCAAATCACAAGCAACAACGCAATCGACGTAGCGAAGAGACCCATCAACAACCACAGACGAAGAGAAAGGGGGTGAAGAACAGTGAAAGTGAAACCGACTTACGTGTGGTAGAGACTACATCGAACTTCGCCGGAGCAGAATCCAGGGACGGAGGCGACGAGGAAGACGAAGAATGGGAAGGAGAAGTCGAATTGGCTAGTCGGAGGAGCTCGCGAACGGAGAATCTGATTTCACCGGAAAACGAAGAACGGCAGCACCAAGGACGACGGGTAAAGCAAGGAAAGATCATAGGAGGAGGAGGAGGAGGTTTGAGAGAGAGGAACAGATGATCCGCCATGGAAATGAGCTTGTACAGTGTCAGGTGGAGGAGGAGATGATAGAAAAAGGACGAAGCTCAATCATAACGAGAGGTAACCCTCTCTTTCAGTTCGCGCGTTTGTGGTAGAGATTCCGTCATTAAGATTCTCTTTTTCCTTGAATTTATCTGTTTTTTCATTTGTTAGATTTGTTTTTTTTTTACGAAAATAAACATATAAAAAGGTTTCAAATTGTGAAAAGAGAATATATAATTATATTATTATAATATATTTATCAGAAAAGCCTTATACTATACATAAAATTATGCATATATTATATATACAATGTCACATATATTTTGATAAAAATGATAAAACGTGCCATTTATTAAATTAAATAGATCCATTAGAAAGTGCGGGTGAATATTTATTTGTCATCCTTACAGATAAAGTCTCGGGTCGGACAACCTCGGGACAGGAACGACAAGAATCGGATCCTTCAGCTTCATTGAACTTATAAACCTCTCTTTCAATCCAAGTCTTTCTCCTTCCGGAACCTTCCAATCAAACGAGTGCAGCAACGTCGCCAGATTGTACAGAACCATCCTCTCCGCCATGGCTATACCCGCGCACATCCTCCGCCCCGACCCAAACGGAAGATGATGCATGCGCACCGAGTCTTAAATTTATAACCCGATTGCACCGCTAACCGCAAGTATACGGTAGTTGTAGTATCGGGGTCGATCACAGGGACTAGGAACAACTCGTATGCTAATCTATCCTAAATCTAGACCAAAGAGAGAAAAATATTGGTTTTGGAGTGTAGTGTGTGATGATGAAAACGTAAAACTAACGATTAAACAAAAAGTGAATGATGTGATTAGGTAAAATATAAACAATGGATAACGTTGTGGGTTCGGGATCCCTTTAACATGTATGGATATTAGGATTGTGATGGCATGGCTAACGTGACGATTGCCTCTAAATGGAGATTTCAACCTCTTTCTGCAAGATCTTTCCCTCTCAAGCTTAGACCTACTACCTAGAAGATCAAACTATCCATCTCTCGATGGTCTAGATGACACCTAGATGCATTAATATCCCTATCATAAACCCTAAACAAGTCAAACCATCTCTCAATGTGAATGCCTTGTTCATTAGATGTCTAGGACAAAACAACATTCTCATCTGTCTATGATCAATGTTGTTCTAAGATCATTTAATCGAGATTTTGTCAAGATCAAAAGTATGAAGAATAAGACATCAAAACCAATAGAGACAATCAAAAGAGTGTCATGGGTTGGAATGAGTTGATCACTACAATGGTTGGTTTCAAATTGGGGATTTCAAGCTCTTGTGTAAGGTCTTTCTCTCTCAAGCTTAGACCTACTATCTAGAAGATTAATCCATCCATCTCTCAATGATCTAGATAATCCCTAAATGCATTAACACTCCCCATCACAAATCCTAAGTAAGTTAAGCCATTTATCAATGTGAATAACCTACTCATTTGATATTGAGGTCCAAACATCATTCCCATATCTCTATGATCAATGTTGTTCTAAAATCATTCAATCAAGGTTTTGTCAAGATCAAAAGCATGAAGCACACAATATCAAACCAATGAAAACAACCCAAGAGTATCATAGATTAAACCCCAACATCCACACACAAGGGGATCCCTTCCCCACAACTAAAGGTCTACTCCATATTCAAGGAAAGAAAACAAGAAGAAACAAAATAAAACATGAAGAGTAAGAGAGAGAAAGCTTAATATGGTCTTCAATGGTGGATTCTCTCTCCTCTCCTCCTTCTCCAAGCCTTCCCCCTTGTTCTCCAAGTTCTTCCTCCCCCCTTTCCCTCAAGGTGGCTCCCTTCTTTTAAAAATGACTCCCCTAAGGTTAGGAAACCCTAGGTTCTCTTCTACTATCATTGTGGGCTTAGAAATGGGCCAAAACACAAATTGAATTTCGTCAGATATAAATGGGCGGCCGCTCTACATTTTAGGGCGGTAGCCCATTTCTTCTGAGGCTTTCGCTGAGAATATTGCATTTTCGAGCGGTCTCTCTGTATTTCAAGGCGGGAGCCTGAATATGCTTCGCATTTTCGGGCGGTCGGCAGAACTTATGGGCGGCCCTCCTGAATTTTCTGTTAAATCTCGAGGCTTCTATCACTTTAGGGCGGCCAGATCTCTTTTTAGGGCGGTAGCCCATTTTTTACTTTTGTTCCACATCCCGCATTTTCGCCCGATTCTTCTGTCGTTTTCTCCCACATTCCGCGTTTTCGTCCGATTTTTTCGTTGTTTTCTCCCGGAGACTTCACTGCACCACCTGATCCTGAAATGGACAAAACAAGGACCTACTCTACCCCTAGACGACTCATATGCACATGAATCTGATGATAAAGATCCCAATCCACTCATAAAATTCTCAAGTAAAGATGGTGTGATCAAATCCCCCCAGACTTGAACGTTTGTTCGTCCTCGAACGAAACACATGATCGTGAAAATGTCTAAGGCCTGAGAGGTTATGATCAAACTTGAATGGGATCTAAGGTTGGCTTGTCTATCCGGGTAAAAGTCACCGCGAATGGAATCGAGTTTAGCGTACTCTAACCCTCTAGCATTCAAACAAACGACTACTAATGGAACTTCTTTGGCCCCCGTGATCTAAGGTAGATTATACGCATCTTGCCGAGCATGTCTCTCAAACACATCCTATACAATCTTTATGCATGATCTAACCCATATTTTTGTGATTCTACCTCGCCCTATTCTTCTTTCTTTTCATTTTGTTTCCTTTTTTTTTTTTCTTTTCCTTTTCTCTCTCTCTCTCTTTTTTTTTTTTTTGAAACATCCCGGGCTTCTAGGACGTTGAAGTTGACGAGTGACATACCTTTTTGGTATATTCGCCCCACAACTTAGACCCGAGCCATCGGTTTCTAATGCACTCATGTCCTCGAATGATTTTCATTAACGAGCTAATGACAGCGGAGTGTCGGGATGCTACTCTATTTATTCGGGCTTTCTTCTATGCTATGGGCTTACTAAACTTAGAGATAGAAGAATGGTTCTTGGGGAGACGTTTGCGCTTGGTTCGTAGCTTCAAATCCGCCTAGAACTTAGGAGGAAAATCATCCCACATAACAATCGCTCGTTCTAGGACTAGATTGACTATTTCTGCTTCACACGACAATCCATTCAGCTACTAAGGGAATCCCAAGTCCGGTTTCTCAAACCTTTCAAAACAGCCTCGCTCTACTCCCCCCACATCATCATTTGACCAACCTCTTATGCAAATGAGTATATGCATGCCTATACCTATATGAACTTATGCAATATGCAACCTAATTAGAGACCTATCGTGAGACTCAATATACAAATGCACGTAACTCTATTCGGATCTATGATGAAGATGCATACACATTTTTTTTTTTTTTATGAAAATGCAATTATGTAATGCTCACAAGGCTCAAAACTTTGTTAGTGTGTCTCCCCCCAGACATGATTCAGGCACCGTCCTCGGTGTCAAGTCGATGTCAAACGAAAGAAGAAAAGTGGAAGGGTTTTAGATGTGGAACCTGATTGGAGTGTAGAACCCATCCATGGAGAGCTTCTCATCCTTTGAGCGTCTTGCAAGAGTCTTATGAAATGCAAAGAAGAAAAATACAAATGCAATGCTAGGGGTGTAATGTTAGCGCAAATGAGAATCGGAAAATGATGAGATGAATGAGTTGGTGAAGCTCAGAAATAATGGGAGGGCCGCCTTAAAATGTGAGTAGGGCACCCGAAATTTTCGAAACTGTCATTTTGCTCAGAAATATCAGGAGGGTAGCCCGAAAATGAGAGGCAGTAGCCCGAAAATGAACAGATTCACAAAACTTCAAAAATCGAGCGACCGCTAGAGAAAAACAGGCGGTCCGCCTGGTTCTTCTGAGAAAGAGTTGAAGACAGACAAAAAAGGGTCAAAATGTTGGGGGGTTTTTGATTTTTTTTTATCTTTAAAAAGGAAAAAGGTATTTACAACCTCGGGATGCCTCCGAGAGCGCTTGTTTAAAGTCCCTAGCTCGACCATGTTCACTTCATTGCTCAAGGGGGTTCAAAGATATGAGTTGTGTCATCTTCCCTTTTGGCAATAGCCCCTGACTCTTTGTCAAAAAATGGTGGAGGGTAGAGATCTATTCGTGTGACCAATTTTCTTGACATCAATTTATCATTTTCGATTAGGGTCATCTTGCTATCTACCCTATCATATCCAAGTTGAGTCGAACTAATCCCTAGACTGCTCATGATTGGACGTGTAGCCCAAGGAAATAGTTCATGTTCGAACATTAAGGGGAGTCTAGGATTCTTATCTATGTGAATGTGATCAATACAAACTAGCGAACTATCTCCCTTAATATCGTCTATTGAATAACCCATAGCACGCCTAAATGCCCTAAATGCATCGCACAAATCATTCAACTCAAAACCATTCAAAGCATCAATTTCCATGATGGGATAAGAGAAGTTTGCGCAAAGAAATTCGTGCCTTAGCCCTTGTGGTAAAGGTTTGAGATTTACCTTTGGCTTTGTGTCGATTTCCACTTTGGATTTCCCATGTGCGTTGTTGATCGGTTGCTTTGTTTGTATGGTGAATGTGGGATATTTCGTGCTTGTATCCGGATTTGTTGAGTGATCAGTGGGAGAGGCTTCCTTGATCACATCTTCGCTACTCACGTTCTCCAACCTCTCTGCTTCTTGACTTGTGTAGGGCAACAAGTCTATATCTTCGGGTATCCATCCTACATACTCTGTGTCACAATCGAGGTCCAGTGGGCATGTGAAGTCCCTTGGCTTGGAGTTGATTTTCTTTTGTTCCTGCAAAATCTGTATGAGTATGGACTTTATATCAAAATCTACCTCTCGTGTGGTTTGAGATGGTAGAGGGACGTATTCTTCATGGAATGGATCCTCAAAATGGTGATATGCTACATAGCCTTGATCATTGTAGAATGGAGGTTCATGATTTCAAGCTCTTGTGTAAGGTCTTTCTCTCTCAAGCTTAGACCTACTATCTAGAAGATTAATCCATCCATCTCTCAATGATCTAGATAATCCCTAAATGCATTAACACTCCCCATCACAAATCCTAAGTAAGTTAAACCATTTATCAATGTGAATAACCTACTCATTTGATATTGAGGTCCAAACATCATTCCCATATCTCTATGATCAATGTTGTTCTAAAATCATTCAATCAAGGTTTTGTCAAGATCAAAAGCATGAAGCACACAATATCAAACCAATGAAAACAACCCAAGAGTATCATAGATTAAACCCCAACATCCACACACAAGGGGATCCCTTCCCCACAACTAAAGGTCTACTCCATATTCAAGGAAAGAAAACAAGAAGAAACAAAATAAAACATGAAGAGTAAGAGAGAGAAAGCTTAATATGGTCTTCAATGGTGGATTCTCTCTCCTCTCCTCCTTCTCCAAGCTTTCCCCCTTCTCCTCAATGTGGCTCCCCCCTTTTCAAAAAATGACTCCCCTCAGGTTAAGAAACCCTAGGTTCTCTTCTACTATCATTGTGGGCTTAGAAATGGGCCAAAACACAAATTGAATTTCGTCAGATATAAATGGGCGGCC